TGATGTTTTTTGATATCCTGGCAATATCACGTGTTTCTTTTTTAATTACTTGGTTGGAGAAGAAGGTTCCTGAGGCCTGTAGAAAGAAATAAACATGTCCCTAAACAGGCACAGTGACATTTTCATGGAGGTAAAACCCGCAGCTGACAGGTAACCCGTGGGTGTCCCACTGGGCAGGCTCTATGCTTGAGCACAAGGACTCTCTGCAGGTACCATCAGCAGAGGCGAGTTACACAGGCTGTGCTCAGCTCTCCTTTCCCAGCACTGATTTACCTCCTGCCGTGCTGCGGGAACCTGTTTTGAAGCTATCTGAAAACTATGTGAGCTTGTAGACAAGTAGTTTATCCCTCCAGTAATGATTACATTTGCTGCTATTGACAGTCACACCGAAGGCTCATGCAGACAAAATAAAGTACGTCTTTTATCCTCCCTGCAGAAGAGATTCCTGTAGAATTTCTTGCTATTTAAAAAAAAAAAAAAAAAAAAAAAAAAAATCAATTTAAAGTACCATGCTTGTTCAGGGTGTAGTAAGTAATAAATAACTGCAAATCCCATTCACGTAATTTTTTTCATTCTTGCCTCTGTGCTGCCCTTCCCACCATTATTCCCACTTTTTGTTTAATAATGTAATGCCCCGAGGAACCTGGAGCAGTGAAGGCTGTATAATGCCACCGCTTCTCCTCCCCTGGAATGCAGCATCACCGCTGCTGAGGGTAGCTTCAGGTCTGCTTTCATCTTCTGCCGCAGCGATCGCGTGTAGCCATGGCTACGGGCGCAGTCTCCAGAGTCAGACACGGCAACTCCCCTTCGATACTGGCAAGCCTGGTTACACATGGAGAAGGGCAGGCAGCAGCCCCCTTCCTGAGAAGCTCTGAGTGGCTGAGGGTGGGCTCCACCACCGGTTTTTGGTCACTTAGTTTTGGATGCCATACCTCTGGGGACCAAGGTATGTGCTCATTGCAGGCACCTCCCGTGGATGCGTGCATCAGCAGCGGTGCAGGGTTTCCCATCCTCGCTTCCCACTACATGCACCCCAGCTGCTTGCAAGGACCAGAGCTCCACGTCTATAAAACCATACTTTTAATGCTGAGGATGTAATATCTGCATTATACACATTTCTGGGGTTTTTGTTAACAAAGACCACCACCGGTCTCATCCCTTGGAGTTAATATCCACTGATCTGCTCCCTGATGTGGCCTGAAACACAGGGGTGCACCCACATGAAGGTGGACACCCTGACTCTGGGCTAGCTCATGTAGAGGTACCCGAAGTGATCCAAACAATTGCAGGTTCCTCCTGCTAATAATGCAGCTAATGGCTCCCTGTCTCACTGTGGAAGGCAAGAAATTGATGTACAGCACTTTGAGATTGTACAGCACTGCAGAGTATGTGCTAAATATCATTAGTATTTTACAGCTAAATGCATTTTTTTATTCATTAATGATGTTAATCAATATTAACCTGCTATCCACTCAGGTATTATTACAGCATTAAAGTGCACAAATGATTGTCTCCCTTAGTACTTAAAATGTGATTATGCTGAGGCTAAGAAAATTAGAAAGTGCCATAAATAGACCCCATGTTTGTTTCTTCCATAACAAAGAGGTATCAATGGGCCTGTTCATTATTTTTGGTTGTAAAGTGCTACTGATACTTAAGCAAAATTATGTATTGGAATTTCAGCCCCATTAACGTACGTGTGTGTGTGTGTGTATGCACACAAACTTGTATTCATTTGCCTGATAATAACATTTGTAATATTGTCAAATAATATTGCATATTAACAAAGCAAACATTGTCTCCAAGGAATTATTAACTTCAGTGTACAGCACATATTTTTTGTTTCCAGTTCTGTTTTTCCTCTGGTAATTACGTTGAATAATATATGATTTTTCATTACAAACTATCCAGTGGGGATTATAAGACATATCACACATCTAAGCTAATATGACTGTCAGAACTTTAACCGTTACGTTCCCTTTCACATTTTACTTCTTACTTTTAATTAAGCAACATTAAATTTTATGTTACAATTGATTTGCGTGGGTCTTAATCTTGATCTCTTAAGTATTCAGGCTTAATGAGCCAACTCTTTATTACTTTATTGATATATAAAATGTCTATTGACAGGTCAATAGGACATTGCCCTAGTAATTAAAAACAATGGAGATTACATCTAAGAAGTTAGCTCCAGGAGTATGAAATTCTGTGTATCTGGGTTCATGCAGTCCAATTCTGATTAATCTTTTGGCTGTATTCAATTATATATGCCATAGTTTGATATGTATAAAAAGATGTATGTGTATGGTTACACGCATATACTAATGTGTACAAAAACACATACGTACATAAATTCATGAGTCAGGATGCTGATTAATGGGCGGTATCTGGTTATTGTCAATCCATTTAAGCCAGTTATCAATAAGTTACACATAGGTTTTATATGCTTAAAGGAGACAAGGTTCAAAGGAAAAAATACTTAGTGAAGTTATGCAATCACAAATTAGGAAAAACTTGATCTTTTATTTGCTGTTTGTTATTTCCTTTCTATCCTGTGCATAGGTCATATAGGGAAAATAACTAAAAGCTGTAAGAAAAAAAACACTTGAAAGCTGTTACTACTTTTACGTTTTCAAGTGCATAAATTTCACACCAAAACTTTCTCTTTAGACAAAATCACTAGGCTGCTGTTTCTGAGATTCAAAAGAAGAAGAGGCGCAATTAAAAATCCTTCCATTTTAGGCACTGGTAACACTTCCCCTTGTTACTCATTATCACAAGGCTGGGTTCTGTATTTCCAGCATTGCAACACAGGGCAATTTTAGCCAAGAACAGAGATTGCTGAGGCCCCAGAGGAGCAGAGAGGCTGCAGGGGCCGTGCTCAGGGTCTGGCTGCCCTCAGCTCTCCTTGCACCCTTATGCTGCTGCGCCAGCACCTCAAGTCTGGTTGCTTGATGTGACTTCTCCAGCTCTAGTTCTCATGAATTTAGAAATTTCCGTCTCTGACTTCGTTTGGGTGATAGACATGCTCACTGCAATTGTAGTCTGGTGATGCCATCTGAAAGCTGAAACCATTCTTCCCAAACCATTACTGTGTGCAGCTGTCTGTTGATTTGGTGACTGCTTAGGTGTTTCCCGAGTCCTAGGCCAGGCTGTGAACTAACATATGATATATCTGTATAGCAGCCGTATGTCAGCATATATAGATATATATATATGTAAGTATGTCAGCAGCTGCTTGCTGTCAGGGTTGTCACAAATCTCTCAGCACATGTGGGATTCAAAGAGAACTGTTCTAACCAAGAATCTGATTAAACTGTTGAAGTAAGTTAACAGAACCTCCTTTGCAACAGTTTCTAGCCTTTGTACATACAACATAAGAAGTATTGAGTTTAAACTCCCCACAGTTTATTTAAAATAAGGAATTTTTGTCTTAGTTATGGGGAGACACTTGGTCAACTCTTGTTTTGACCCAGCCAAGAAGCAGTAACAAAATAGTCTACAGGGAGAGGTTTGGAATAAAACTCACAGGGAAATTTTGTTTTGGAAACACTGATGTGTTATTCCTAAAATGTTGCCTGTCCCTTGGAACCAGGATGCTCCTGACTGACGACTGCCATTCTCGCCAGTTTTATTACATTTGAAGAATAACCTCTGCAGGCTGCAGGTAGGGAGTCTCTGACACCAAATCCACATTTCTCTGAACTCTCCTGTGGACAAGGCATTCCCAAAACGCTACCCCGTGTGGCTGGAATGCCTGGCATCCCTCATGAGGCTTGGTCTGCACTGAGAGAGAGATTTCAGGGAGATGACATCTGAGAATCTTTTCCATGAACCCAAGGGCACAGCATGTTCTAGAGATTACTCTGGGTCATTTTGCCTGGCCTGAGTCTGTCCTAAGCCACCCTGCATGCCCAGACATCTGGAAGGCAAAGCTCCTCTGCAGTTCTGTATGGGAATCTTGCTAGTTTTTGAGATCTTACCGTCTGTAACACAACACTGAGTCCTTTTGATATCCTGTAAATTCAGTGGCACTACCCTATTTAATCCCATGTAAGGATCCAGACAAATAACTTAGAGTTTGGTACTCATTACGTAACATGACATTTCTGATAACATTACAATTATATATCAACTGAGAGGGGTGTTGTTACTTGTGATAGTGCCCACAGAGTATTCTAATAATCTACGAAAACGTTACTTGAAAATTCAGGCTACCCCATCATCAATGTGTCTGTGTTGTTATACACATGAAATAACACATTAAGATGTTATTAGTGGGTATGACAATCTTTTCTACTTTCCTCTGGGGACTAGATAATAGCTTATGGATATATTAATCCTTTTTATTTTGGCATATATTTTAACATGATGGATGTGCAGCATACAACAAGGTTTTCTACTTGCTGAGATTTTGGTAATAAAAAGAGAAATAAATAAATCCATGTAGAATGTGTCCATTCTGAGAACTCATCTGCAGCCTGGCCATGTTCTTTATTCTCTGGGCAATGATTGTTTTGAATCAACATGAATAAAACTGCTGCTTTTTTTTTTTTTTTTTAATTGCAGAGATGCTGAAACTTCTGGCAGGTAAGAAGACAGATGGGTATGCTCTAATTCTGAGATTCCCATCAGGAGACAGCATATCTTGTAGACAGAATATTGTATCATGACAGGATGTAAATTACTTGACAGATGCATTATTTAGAAATGGTGCTACATCCCAATGCTTCTCCCAATGACAAAAGCTACTACACTATTTTTAAAGAAGAAAATTAGGTCAAAGTACTACTGTCCTTATGTCATGCAGAGACCTGCCAAACTCCTCTGGACAGATTTTTCTCCAGCCTACTCCATGCTAATTTTCATGCCATTTTCGACTTGTTGTATGTCTAATATGTGCTGAATTTCTCTTTTCACTGATGTTCTGTGTAACATGAAGCAAGTAAGGAAGCGGTGAATAAAATCCTTCATGTTAACCTATACTACTTGTCTTACAGGCTGATTTTGACAATAAACCTGACTCCTTGTTCTTCAGCGATGGGCAGCGAAGAATTGACTTTGTTTTGGTGTACGAAGATGAAACCAAAAAAATGACTCATAAGAGGATTGATCGTAAAAAGCAAAAGGTAAGTTATTTTTAGTACAAATCTGAGTCATTTGTTGGGTGTTAGAGCAGAAAAGATAGTGCCCTCACCCAGAGTGGCAATGGCATTGCCCTGCCTTAGGAATGCTTCTGAGAGCTGTGAGGTTGAAGCCCATCAAACTGAGCAGTGAAGAGAGGGGAGATCAAGCCACTAGACCTGTGTGAACGGGCAGAGAACGGGCATACTGTGTCTGCCAGTGTGTGCTGGGTGACCTCAGGGCATGCTCCTGGGAAGGAACCCTTCAGGAGATGTGAGCAGAAAAATTCTGGTGTCAGGATCCCAGTTAGAATTAGACAACAAGATCTTCAGACTAGGACAATTTTCTGTACTTACAGTGCTTGAATTAGGCCCACAGGGAACCTTGGTATTAAAATCAGGGTATTCAGGGGAAACCTTGGAAGGAGGCAGCTGACCAGATGAGAGTCATGTACATAGCTGCTGACATTCTGCCCAGTAAAGTACCTAAGTCTTTCATGGGAAATACTTGGATGTTACTTTGCTACCATGCTTTCTCTGGGTATCACTCTTCCCTTGACACTTGGCCCTCCCTAAGGACCTTGAAAAAAAAAATTGACTCAGGCCAGGACTGCTTGATGCTTCTTAGCAGCTGTGAACAACAAGCATGCATTATTTTTTAAACATTATTTTTTAATTATTTTGGTAAGTCTATCAGTGGACTTCATTCCTTATGGCATCTGAAGCCACAAAAACAAGCTCAGTCATGCCACTGAACTTTTTAAATTGTGAACTGCCTGAAAAATGTGCATCCACTGGACTGTAGTCCCCTTGGAATCTGCGCTCTCCCACCCACCACTTCCTCCTCTGATTTAGCAGTTCCCTATGTTCCAGCAGCCTCTGGCAGAGACAGGCAAGGACAAAGACATTACTGAAAGCAGCTCATATACAAACAATGATTTGCCGTTTGGAAAGAGGAGAGTAGGAGTAAAAAGGCCTGTAGCTAGCTGGTTGATATTCATTTCAGTGTTGTCATTGGCATTATCAGGGCAGCTATAAGGAATGTGGTTAGTAGGGTTTAAGAGAGGCCTGCAGTGGGTGGATGTTGCATTACACATGACCACAGGATCAGCAATAAAAATAAATTGAAAGAGAAACAAGAAGCTGCCCCTTTAGAAAATTTATATAGGTATGTATATATGTATATATATATATGTATATATATACAAATTAGTATTTTATTTTTATGTTTGGAATATTTGGCCATTGCCCACATGTATGTAAAAATACAATAAGTATCTTTTTCAAATAGTGGTGAAAATTAAACATAAGCAATGGAATAGTATTTTTAGTGCAACATTAATTTTAGGACATTAGTCAGAACTAAACCATGAATAATTAGACCAGAAAATTGTGGGTAATGCACTTAGAGTTTGCTTTCAAAGGTCTGGGGCAAGTTCAATGGTGGGAAACCAGTGATGGTCAGGAGCTGAAGCACTTGCCCTGCGAGGAAAGGCTGAGAGAATTGTCCTTGTTCAGCCTGGAGAAGAGGAGGTTTTGGGTTGATCTAACACTAGTTCCTGAGTAGCTACAAGGAGGTAACCAGGAAGACAATGTCAGATTCTTCACAGTAGGACATGGAGGAATGACAAAAAACAACAGGCACAAACTGAAACAAGAGAGGTTCAGACTGGATAAGGATAAACTTCAAAGGCAGTGAAACAGGTTGCCACAGCAAAGCTGTGCAGTCTCCATCCTTCAACTTTTCAAGACCTGACCAAATGCTCCCTGACCAACATGGTCTGACCTCAGAGGTGGCCCTGTTTTCAATTACATAACAACTCTGCCATTACCACTCTGTGAGATTGCAAGTGATGGCGAAGATGTGTCAGCAGGAAGATGATTACAGAGGTGACAGCAATTGTCACTGCTGGGATTTCCATGGACAGGGAGAATCTGAAGCTGTAGGAGTACTGAGGAAGGCACGGGCAAGAATTTTACTATTGGGAACATAAACAGTGCAGAAAGGGCAGAAGAAAGCAACAGTAAGAGACTAGGATGAAGAGGATTTTCAAAGACAAGAACAATGGATACAAGTATGACGACATTGAGCTGGAGAATTAATGACAAAATCCAAAGCTGATCGTGAAACAGACAAAATATTACACAAAGGGTAAGGTACCAGAGGACACTGAAAGGTAAAGGAAGGAGAAGAGGGAATGAGGGAAAGATTATGTTCAATGAGTTTGTAATGTAAGCTGATATGAGTCACCTGGTCATAACCAAGCTCCTGTGATACAGCTCAGAAGTACTGACTCCCTCCCCCCAGTGCTTCACATACAGGCATCATTAGTTTAGAAATACATTTCCCTTATCTATTGTTGAGGGAAAAATCTTTTAAAACTTAAATAGATTCAGATTTTCTAACTTTTAACATGGGATCGGTGCAGGTCAGCTCCAAGCATGAAAGCACTTCAGTCACCTCAGAAATAGAGAGGTGCATACTCTCACTTGAGGTCACTTGCTATGCAAGCAGAGGAAGCTGTATTCCTATGACAGAAGTAATATTTTGGTCTACCACAGTTCCCAGAAAGTTTTGGAGATGCTTCTGCCCAATACATTCCTGTAGGCATAAAACCTAATTGATAATTTGTCTTCAATGACGATGTTGTTTATTTGGTTATATACATGTATATTGGGGGGGGAGGGCAAATAAGTTCTGCCCCATGATGAAATACAAGGTACCAAATTGAGGAATATTGTCATTTACAATCAGCTTTAACTACTGCATATGTCACTGTCTCTGATCAATGACAAACTAAAAATTACAAATTTTATAAACAGTATCTCCGGTAATTCAATGTGCTTTAGGTCTGAATAGGTCCCTTGCTCATACTACTCTTTCTTTGACTCCCCTGATGGATTTATATGGGGTTTACTGTTCACAGACTTTTAAAATTCCAACTTATTAAGGAATAGCAGATCCAGTGAAGTCTGTTCTCACAGGGTGAAATCCTCACTTCATTGAGGATGCCAGCAGTCTTCATTACCAAGCACACCATTACAGGTCTGTGCAAGGTAGGGACCAGGAAATGTAGTCACTGGGATGAATTCTGTCTGACTCACACTACACCCTATCTGACTGCATGATGTAGATGTCAGGACAGAATTGAAATTGCCAGAGGATATCTTTTGTTTCCCTTTTCTGAAATGAAAAATTTTGGGAGTTGCCCTTGGACACTTTGTTAATAGTAAGAGTAGAGGAGTCCCCAAATGCTTACTGAAGTTAGGGGAAAGATTTGAAAATGTGACCCCAACCTAGGTATCCAAATTACTGGGTTCACAGAAATGGGATACAGATCCATGTATTCCTCAGTAGCAAGAGGAGAATCAGATCCTAAGACCATCATTATATTAAATGGTTTTCTGTCCTTCTTAAAAAGAAGTGCATAAGTGTAATTGAGAAAATGGCCCAGTGTTAATTTATATTAATTAATAACATTCTTGGGAAAATGGCTCAGAGGAGACAAAGGAAAAATTATCTTAAAACATTAAGGTAGTTTGAATAGAAGGAACAAAAATGTGGTGTTCTGAAGCACTCAGAGATATTCAGTAGTGTTGTGCTTCCCTCATTCTCATGTGCTTCTGAAATCTGGTTTAGAGACAAAAACTGAACTAATGAAATCAGTCTTCAAGGAAGTTTCTAACATAATTTACAGATACAAAAGTTACCAGATAAGGTTCGTATATGTAACTCGATTTGAATTCCAAACCTTTCTAAGTTGGTATACAATTATTTTTGCAAGCACGAGCAAAAATCAGACTGTCAGGAGCAGATTTCAGAAACTCTGCCTTGTAAGTAATTGAAATCACTGCCCAAAGCATGTTTTTTAAACTTCACAATTTATGTGCACTATTTGTCTGGATAGGATGTCATCAGAATAGAAATTAAATATCACCATCCTTTCTCAGAATGCTCCAAAATGCCAGTTTTATCTTTCAGGATACTCAAGTAGCTCATTGTTGAAAGTTAAAGGGTCAATGCCAGACAGACATATTCAAAATAAATCAGTGCAGAATATCATTTTAGTCCATCTGCTTCTCCCCAGCAGAAATAAACAGAAAGGCTGTCTAACTTAAGAAAGAATGTGGGCAAAACCTTCATTTCTAGCTGTGAAGTAATCTGTGCTTTGTAGAAATATCCAAATTTTCTTTGCAAATTAAATGAAAACCTATGATTCACAGACAGTATTACATACTTTTCCTTTTTATTTTTATTTAATGTACAGTTGTACAGGGAACTCCAGCAAAGCCGGAGAAGTTTGCCTTCATAAGCAAACAGTTCCTGCCTCTAGACTTGTTTAAATTAGATAGCCAAAAACAAAAAGCTTGAATAGTTTTCAATGAATCAATTGCACATCTCCTGTTGTCTCACATGTTACACACCCATGGAGAAAGAACAATATTTGGGGTTACAGAATGAGCAATAGCTCAGTGCCATTTCATGCTGTAATTTGACACAGTAGAAGATGGAAGGCTCTATGTGCCCATGGTGTTCCCAGCAAACCTACCCAGGAAGTTTGATAACAAAGATGAAAGAGACCTTTGAAACTGAAGGACAGCAACCACACCTGCTCTGATCTCTGCTGGTTGGATAGGTTTTGAAGCAGGAACTCACCAAAACGAGATCTCTGTTCCTGAGTTAACTCCGGACCAAAACTGCTTGGTGAATGGAAGGACAAATGGAAGGAGGGAATTACTCTGAAGTTACTGCATACATTCATGGGACCAGAAATGAGTCTTTCCAAACAGGGTGGCTAGGACACACTGTTGAGAGTAGGGCTAGGCCAGAATATTGACAGTTCTGTGTGGCTGTGAGTCAGGTATCAAACAATTGTGAGGCTGGCTTCAAATCATAGGGTACCTCAGAAAATATGCAGTTGGAGTTCTTTGGGTTTACTCTTCTGCATCAGAGACTTTATAGCATATTCTGCTTCACATTTTTGTGATTACCCTCAAACACAAGGGAAAGAAGCTGACTTTAAAAACACAAGTAGAGCTTCTCAATCAATTAATTTCCTGATGCTGGCAGTGGGGACTGGCAGAAAAGCCTCCAAATATCATTAAATAAACTCTGAGAGTTATCATCTAATATTGATACAGTAATCCTTCCTACTTCCTTTAGCTGATTTCCATGGGGGAGTCTGTGGGCCCAGTGTTCTTTCTCTTGCTAACTGTGATTTATCTGTTGCCTGCCAGGTAAGGCACAGGTGGCTATTCAAACATTACTTTCTTGTTAGGATTGTTCCCCTGAAGCCACACTGATACCGTTACGGGGAACTTTTCTCTTTGCTCAAAAGAAACTAAACAAAAATATGAGTTGGCATTCTTCTATTGCTGTAATCAAAGCAAGTGCTCCCTACCATTTATGAAACACAGAGAAAAATCTCCTAGTAATCTACTACCAGTTTCTAGACTCTGACAAGACAATGGTGAGACATTGAAAGCACTTTGGTGAAAAAGGAGCTCCCAAGAGCTAACCCTTCTGTATGCCTGTAACACTTGGTATTTATTTACATTAAGCTTTCCCTTTCTTAAGACTGTATAATTATATGTCATAGTGTCTCAGTCAATTGGCTAGCTATTCAATTATCAAAATCAATGTCAGTTTTAGATCAGCAACATTACCATGGTTACGTTATTATTACAACTTAACCTTGCAGGTGGCTAAGCAAAATACTGTGTACTAAAATAAACTTGGAACAGTCCCACAATCCAGCCAAATAAGCCATCACATCTTTACACTGTATTCCCCACTCAATGCAAAACCACTATAGACTCCTTTGGGTAAAAGACTAGCTTCTCCTTAGACTATCATACACATAATTCAATCATTTATATAAAATAGCAAAGCCCCTAATTAGCAAAGGTTCCCAGGGGCTTTGTTTCTCACTACTTGCATTAATGCATTATTAGAAACCTTAATATTGTCAACATTCCTCTAAGATTCTGAGGGCATAATTAATTTGGGGAACTCCTTGCCATAATAAATTATTAAAGCAATCTGAAAAGTAAGATTAAAAAAAAAAAAAGCATTAGACTCATACAAATGAGAATTGCTCAGCCTCTGTTTTTGTGCTATTTTGTAAGAAATGAAACAGGTATTTAGACCTGTGCCTTTTTTATTAACTGAAACAAAGCAGAAAGTATGTTGAAATGTTTACATAATTCATTATTATTCACCTTACAAAAAAACACATGTATAGGGAAGATGTAAAGAAGTAGGATGAAATGAATAATTTTCATCATGGCGAAAGAATTAATAGTGGAATAACAAACAACTCCTGTGCACTACATTTTTTAATGACCTGGTAAGGGGATTGAGTTATGATATAGCAAAAATCACAGAGGAAATAGTTATGTAGTTTACTCGGAAGCCAAGCCAACAAGAACCTTTAGCTTTGAAGGAGAATGGAGAACACTATTACACATGAAATGTTGGCAAATGCGAGGAAATATATTGCTGTGAGGAAAAACCTCGTTCCCGTTTGGGATTCTAAGTTGATATTCTCAGTAAAAGGAGTAGACTTAGATTTCATGGGAAACACCTATGCTAAGTGTCCTCATCAAGGTACAGTTACCTTGACACTAGGTAACAACATATTATATATATTATATTATAAATATGTATTGAATAGGTGCTATTTTGTATGTACACAGAAAAAAATCATGAAGAACATTATGAGGTCACTAATAAACACATAAATTAGTAGGACATAGAAAGATATCTCTGTGAAGAGTGCTTTGAAAGTTTGGGATTGTGTTTTTATCCTGAGAAAGGAGACAAATAAGCAGAAATGTGATTGGTATTGATGAAAGAAGAAAACAGATTGAAATATTTGGATCTCCCTGTCCCTAACCCAAGAAGAAGATGATAGTAATTGGAATAAAAAGGCAGAGAAATCCAAAAGATATCAAAGAAATATCTTTTTACAAAATATGAAATGAATCCATTATAACCATTGCTAAATTCAGATGCTGCAGTTGAGAACTAACAAGATATTAATTCCAAGAATTGCTAGAGCTTTGGAAAAATATTTATACTCCTTCAGGGATTTTCAAAAGTCTTTGAACATTAAAGAATGGGATGAAGTTTATATGGTGATACAGTTGACATGTTCATTGGTTGGACCAGATGATCTTGAATGATCAATCCTAATGATTCTATGTCAAACCCCTTAAAACTTCAGCTCTTTTTGCCTCCTAGAGTGGGTGGGTCTTGAATTTGGTCCTAAAGACCAGTTTCCATGTACCTATCAAAGTTTCTAAGACTTCATCTAATGAATAATTTATTGACTGTGATCCTTCACAGTAACAAGAAGACTGGATCTTAAGCACTGCTCTTAAGGCAGTTATCCTGGTGGAAAAGGACAAGGCTACAGAAACCATTGGACTGTTCCCTCTTGAAAACTCAAAGTTGCTATACAAGAGGCACAGAATCTCTTAAGCACAGAGTATACAAACACAAAAAACAATGCCCAAATGGCATAAAAACAGTCAGGGAGTAAAAAAGTAATGTCACCAAATCACTTTGAGAACTACACTGCATGCCTAACCTTTATTCAGGAATAAAGGAATGAGTCCCAATTTGTTAATGTTATCTCCTTCTGGCAATTCCATTCTTCTGTGCATATGTGTTCGGAACAGATGCTTTACAATTTTCAATACCTTTTAACAGAGGAAGAGACAAGTATATGAATCAAACCTGATAAACAACGGCTTGCAGCTCGAAGCAACAAGATCGGTGAGTGCTCTTTTCTTTGTCTGCACTCCTTTGTCTGTGCCTGAGAGCTGAATCTTCCTCTATATGGGTAAGGAATTGGGTAGATAAATTGAACTTAACAGTGTTCTCCTCTCAGGAATAAAAAAAAAATAATCATAATAAAATAAAATAAAAAGCAAGCTTTATTATTTTTTTTTCCCGTCAGTAGTGTTTCTCTGACCTGATGCAAAGTCATGTAAACTTTGCATCTGTTTCTCCCTCTACAAAATAAAAGCTGGGAAGTGGGGATGTTAGTTGGTGTTCTCTTCTGACTGAGAATATAAATAGGGATGGCCATGCTCCAAGGAAAGGCTCCACTTCCAGAAGGGCAGTTCAGGGCTCCTGTAGGTGACCCAGCCCCCAGCCCCCTGTGAGCCGTGGCACGGGGAGAATAGTTGTAACTGGCACAGTCTGTGTATTTTGGGCTACCCCACTGTCTGTGGGCAGCTCAGGAGCCTCCTACAATGTACAACAGCTGCCAGAGCTGCTGTCTGCACTATGAGGGCTGCTCAGCACCCAGGGCAGTGGAGAATCCAGGCAGAATAAAAATGTCACGAAGCCACCTTTCCTTTCTCTCCTTCAGGGCCACAGCTTTAGGCCTGGGTCTGTCAGGGGACAAGCAAGACAGTCACTTACAGTGTTCATTTACTGTTGCTTGGTAATAAAGTGGGCACCTGAAAAGGTCTTTTCGCCCCTTCCTCCCAAGGTGCACCCAAGAGTCCATGACCTCATGGTGTTTGTTTGATTTATGCCATGAGAGCTCTTGCTGCATGTACAAGGAACCAAGGAACCAGTTTGGCTGTTCACATTCATGAGGAAGTAAACCATTTCCTGGCAGCCTGATGTGGCTCTGTAGCTGTACTAACTTTTGGCCGTCTTCCATAATTCAGCAGTCTGGTCTGACTCCCTTCTCTCTCCACCCATTTTCCCTAAAAAACTGGGGGTTCATATTGCCCATCAGCATCCACAGCTGCATGGCCATTCTCTCTGGCGTGCTTCCACCTAAGCTAATGGTATATTCACTAAGATGGACAGTAAATGCAACTTCAAATAGATCATCTGTGAGCCATTGCTAGCTAGCTATGAGCTAGCTATTAGGTCAAGAGAAAGAAAGGTCTGGATAGTTTAATAAGTGTTATGAAAAATGTTTTCATTTTCTTATACACATTTTTAATATTCTTGCATTAGGTTTTGGATGAAAAACTTGTTTTTGTGAAAGTGCATGCACCTTGGGAAGTGCTATGCACATATGCAGAGGTTATGCACATCAAATTGCCTCTGCAGCCCGATGACCTGAAAACCCGAGAGTCAGCATTCAACTGGTTTACTAGTCTCTTCAGAGTGGATGAAAATATCATCAAGCCTGAGCAAGAGTTTTTCACTGCCCCCTTTGAAAAGGAACATTTGTCCAACTTTTATATTCAAGACAAAGACACCTTTTTCAATCCTGCAACTAGAAGCCGAATTGTAAGTCTACAAATATTTCTAGCTTTTAATCTTTTAAAGACAAAAAAAATATATTTTAATCAAATTGGTGCAATTACCTTCATGAAATCTTCCTGAAAATTTGGAAATATTTGGGACATTACAGTCCTGTGTTATTTATGAAACAGCCTGTACATCTGTCACTTTTCTGTTCCACCAGAATTTAAATGGGGAAATTTGAATGATTCGTCTAGCCAGTGCAACCAAATGTGTCTACACTGCTTACCTTTTCATAATTCGCTTACATCTTGAAACAGGTATTGTTGTGCATGATTACTTTCACACTGCAAGAGACAAAAAATATTTTGTAAATTTCAGGTTCATTTCATCCTGTCCCGTGTGGAATATGCAACCAAAAACAATGTGAAGAAGTTTGGCATTAACAAATTACTGGACTCTGGAATCTACAAAGCAGCATTTCCCCTTCATGATGTAAGTCCACTTTTGTCACAATGATGTATTTAGAAATAGAAGTCTGCAGCTCGAGAGTTTATGTGTGTTCTTCACACCAAAAAATACAAGTACAATTGCCTGTCTTACTGCTCGACTGTTTTTTCTGTCCACATAATAGAATATGACATAGTTTGGCTTAAGAGGTTTTTCTCCAAAACACTGTTGGTTAAAAATGTAGCTCCATAACTGAAACATGATATATTTTATTTAGAAGACGTTAATCTTGTATTCTCTTGAAGATGTAGGTCAGTAAAGTGTCTGGCCAAAAGAGGAACCTGAGAGCACTCAAGTGATGCTTTCCCATGATGCACTGTGTCATCACTTCTAAATCAGTTTTAGCAATTTTATTGGTATTCTGTTTTTCAGCATTAAAATCCCTATCAAATAACATATTAATAGAAATGTAGAATACCATTTTAATAAAGATATAGAATACAAGTCTCATTTTAAGGTGTATGACAGTCTTACACTGTGAGAAGCATTTCCACAGTTCCCAAATATCACAATCCCTGCCACGAAACCCACATTTTTCAAGAGTCCCAGTACAACACCTCAGTAAATGATGTCAGAGTCAAATGTTTAACTGGATTGAATTTCACCTTGCAATAATATGAATTCTGACTTTTGTAGCTACACTTCTAAAGCTTTTTTATTTTTAAAGTACATCATTTAAGCACATGTAAGCAAATTGTACTGAAAAATGTTTTGCATATAAAGACTAACAATACCACAGAAAAAGAAAATGAAGGAGAAAAAAAAAAAAGAAATCAGACTTCAGGGTATTTGACAACAAAAACTCGGTGTGATGCTGCAAATGGGATACAGTAAGGAAAGACAGATCTGATTTTGTGCATTGTATCTACACCTCCTCCCCCATTGGAACCACTCTTCCATGTCTGAGGTGTGTTCTGCTGAGAAGAAATGGAGAAAGTGGGAGGTCAGGAATGGGAACTACTCGAGATGTTTCAACTCTATTTAAAATATTCAGGAGGCCTTAAAGGATTTCAAGAAAATCTTTAAGCCAGAATCAAGACAAATCATGTTTCTTGGACGTAACCCAAAGCTTTACGGGATAGAATTAATAACATTCGTGACTATCCATTTTTAAGATTGTCTTTTAAAGATTTAAAACCTTCCTTGCAAGCTATTTCTATCATGGCATGGGGAATTTGGACTCAATATGCCTTATAATTAATGACTGTCTTTTTATACAATTAAAATTATATATCACAGCTACTCTGAAAATCAAAAGTAACTTATATATTTCTAGAAAAGTGACTTTTCTTGCCACATCACAGATATAGAATAGAAAATTCCACTAAATAAAACAACCTTTATTGAAATAGATTTTCCAATAACTTGGCAAAAAACACGAGGATTACCTCTGTGTCAACTCTCTTTTAAATATAAATATAAAACAGAGACTAGAGTCCCTGGATTTATCCTTTGGACTTTCCAGCCATCATTCCAGAACAATATTGTTTTAAAGCAAATTACGTTAACATGTTAGAGCTACTTAAAATCCATTTTAATGAAGTTTCTGTTCTCTAATTAGACTGGATCCTTTTCTGTTTTCTACTACTGAGTGCCAAGACACTGACATGGGCTTAGATTTAAGTTCATGGAGAGTGTCTGTTACTTTCAACCCACATATGTAAAGCTCTTGCTTTAGTATTCAGTGTCTTTCTGACAACCTTCCATCCTGAATCCTCATGCACTCTTAGAGATGCTTACTGAACCTTTTCCTGGCTTGCAGTGACAAAAAGGTTATTACAGGCTTTGGGTTTGTGGCACAGGGTCTGAAGAGATGTGAACTGATCCATGTTCTTTAGATTAATGGTGTCTTCTTCCCACGGTCTTTCTGTTTTGCAGTCTAGTTTTCGGCACCCATCAACAGATCCTGCCTGCCCAAGTGAACGATACCTCCTCTACAGAGAATGGGCTCACCCTAAAAACATTTTCAAGCTGCAACCCCTGGATTTTATCAGGTTAGTGGACATGAGGGAATGGAATGGAGCTGGGACAGGGGAGGGTCAGGCTGGGTGTCAGGGAAAGGTTCTTCACCCAGAGGGTGGTCGGGCACTGGGACAGGCTGCCCAGGTCAGTGATCATGGCACTGAGCCTGATGGAGTTCAAGAAACTTTTGTACAACAGTCCCAGATATATGGTCTAATTTTTGGGTGGTACTGCGCAGAGCCAGGAGCTGGACTCAATGATCCTTGTGGGTACCATCCAGCTCAGGATATTCTATGATTCAGTGACTCTGTTGTGTGACTAGGGCTTGACTAATGCAGAGGGAGCTAGGAATTTACATGACAGGTCTGGGTTCTGGGTGTCAAAAAGACACAGGCAGGTACATATATACCTGTACCAGCTCATGCATGGAAGCATACTTTGAACTTGGTTTCATTAACTGGTTTCCAGTTCATGAAAAGTCATCCATTTAATTTTTTTCTCTGCAAGGTATGATCTTCCTTTTTTTTTTTTCTTTTCTTTCCCTTCTTACCCTCTTATACAAGCATAAAAGTGGTGGTAGAAACACCCAGCTGTAATACTTCTGCAATACCAATGTTCTGACCAGAGGAATGTGACAATAACAGTAGGCACAAAATGTATGAAATGAAGAGTCATTTGAAATTTATTGCTTTTCATTTAAAAACCAACAAATAAACAAAACATTAAACCTTTCTCCTCCACAGGAAATACTACGGAGAGAAAATTGGAATCTATTTTGCTTGGCTGGGCTTTTACACTAATATGCTGATCGTAGCTGCATTTGTAGGAGTTGGCTGCTTTCTGTATGGATGCCTGACAAAAGACAACTGCACATGGAGGTACTTGATCAGGCCTATTTTAATATTACACACAGTTTTGATCCATCCCCTACTGTACAAAGTTTGCAAGACATGGCATAATAAAAGAGACAAAATTAAAGAGCCTGAGAACAACAATGGTTATGGATTTGAAAGTCAAGGTATAAAGTATGAGATAGAAGAGTAATAGATGTCCATGAACCATTAGAGTGCTAGACATCTGAGTTTGTTATTTCAGGATTTTCTTTATATTTTGCACTAGGTTACCACACCTAGTGTAGAAATAAAAAGAAAAGAATGATCATCAGAAGCCAATACAAATTTCTGTAACATCATTTTCAATGTGGGAATCCTTAAAGAATGTATCCAAAGACCATGATAAAACCCCTGAACTTTCTTTCCTCTGTTCTGAGAGAAGAAAACAGGAAGAGCAACAACACAGGGAGCTTCAGCTGCCCAGGATATGTTGGGAACAGAATTATAGTAATGACACAGATTTCCTCATCAGAATATGGTGAGACTGAATCACGGCACAATGACCAAGGAAAAAACACTTGGGTCATTGTGCCAAATCACGTATAGGACATCACACTGTACAGCCCCACTCAGGAATGGAGTTTACTTTTATAAATCATGCAGAAGAGCTCTTCCAGAGCACCATTCCAGTAGCCACTTTATACAAATTTAGCCTTATTATCATTTAGTTAAATGGTTCATCTCCTTCCCTGGTGTTTGTGTTGCTGATGTATTTACAGAAAGCAATTACATCACCTTTTAGCTTCCACCATACTGCATTAAAGAAGCCAAACTCTTTTGCCACCTCTTATGAGACAGATCTACCATACCCATTTTCCAATTTGAGTCTCTTTAGAGGACCACAGGGACTAGGTAGCCGTTTCAGTTCTGCAGCTACTCCTTGCTCCGGTAGGCAACCTTCCTTTTCCTTCTCCCCTTGGGCTTGCAATGATATCCTACCTGAGTGTGCAGCTGTGGGTTTCCTACTGAAGAGCATGAGATCTTTGAAGAGTCATTTTATTTTTAGTGTGAAACATTCTGAGAAATAGTACTGTGTATAAGGGATGGAAGTTATTTTCCCTCCAGGTCATCTACTTTTGAGATGAGGGCTAAAAATGGAAACTGGGATACATTTGTGGGAGTGGGAAGGAGGGGAATTCTTGAGAGCAGATCACTGGTTACTTATTTCTCACTTCCCTGACATTATTGCACTGTCCTTATGTGCACATAAGGACTAAAGAATTTAGAGTGACTGACTAGTTTTGTTTTTAGCCAAGAAGTATGTGATCCCAACATAGGAGGTAATATCATAATGTGCCCTCAGTGTGATAAAGTATGTACCTACTGGAACCTCACCAGCACTTGTGAATCATCCAAGGTAACTACATTTGCAGCTTATAGGCATGCTATTGAACTTTAGTTGCACTTTCCCTAGTACTACATCTAAAACAATGTTGTTCTCCACTAATCTCCTGCATACTACTAGAGCTGTGCAAATACTTGTGCCTTTTGATACAGCAACTGAACTGTAAAAAGTTAAAACAACAATTTAAAAAAAAAAAAGTCCACTTCTAAAGTGAAAAAATAAATTGTTGTTCTTTTTTTTTTTTTATGTCACATAGCCCCCAAATATTTGATATGGGACTAAAATATTTTTAAATTGAAAATGAAATACTGTGGCTTCATTTTGAGTTTCTTCTTTCCTTTTTGCAAAGCAAAATGAAACAAAACAAACATTCAATCATTGAAGTCTTGATTCAGTAACTGAGTTTATTTTTCTTAGGAAATGTTTAAAGCATGTTTTGACATTTCTAAATGCTCCTTCCTCCCTCCCCAAAGAAGTTAGCTGAGGCTGTGCCTTGAATTTGACCTGAGTTGTCAAGGAGGAGATGAGTACCTGGAGAGGCTGATGTTAGCCATGATGGGAGTTGTGACAGTCATTTCCTGTTAGCCATGACATGACCAAGATCTTCCTCTAAATTTCTGTCTGGGGACTTGCCTTTCTTTCCCCGTTAACTTGTGTCACAAGGCTAGTGTTAGCCTTTTGTCATTCCTTCCATAGATTCTGTCACTCCAAAGTGGCAATTTTTCAGCTGTTCATTAAAAATATTTTGCCCGGCCATAATGAACAGCATTGCTTGAGCGCACTTACAGGGCAAAAGAAAGAAAATACGGAAAAAGATATGATGGAAATAAAAGGCAAATTGTCACCACAGAGGTATCTCATTAGAATGTATTTTTACTAACTAGCTTGACTTGTCATCTCACTCATGCAAAGAAGATGTGTCCATTGCCTTTTTGTGTCTATATTAAAAATACATAGCTGTATGCTGAGCTCCCAAACCAGAAGCACTGTTTTCCTCTTCCTATGCAACTGATGGAAGGAAGTCCGATAGCACACTGTTTTGCTATCCTCTTGCTGTATATTTGGCTTATACTTTTAATCCCAGGCTTTGCATTTAATTTCCTTAGTTTACTGGAGAGTACATTGACAGAAATTGAGGAAACACTACCAAGATTGTTTATTAAACTACACAAAAGCTAAAAATCAACTTGTTCAGTAAGCAGCTTCAGTTCTGGGTCAGTGTAGAAGAAAATACTAGTCAACTATATTTCAAGCCTTTTTTTCTTTTTTCTTCTTTTTTTTTTTTCCAGAAACTCTGTATATTTGATAGCTTTGGAACCCTGGTGTTTGCAGTATTTATGGGAATATGGGGTAAGTCAATTTCAACAACAGTAGTTTGTCATCTAATTTTGGCCAAACCTACAGCATCAGCCAAGAAAATGTAGATAAATTTACAACTACTTCATTTTCTAACACTCAGCAACTCACCAGTAGGTAGTTCAGCAGAAGATATATATGTTCACAATACCTCTTTTTAGCATCACAAGAAAACAACAAATAGTAGAACTTAAATATTGGTCTTCTGAGTCTGTTTTGTTTGGTTTGACTTGGAGAACAGTCTGAGAGAAGTGATTAGAGGTGCCTCATGTTCATCCAGCAGGAGCCATGTGCTTAAGCACATCTGGCAAAGGAGCTGTTTTTCTCCAAAGAGACTTGGAGCTGCCTATGCCTATTACACCGCACTGAAAAATAGTCTTTTATTGTATTTCCCAGACATTTTCCTCCTGTCTTCATTTAAGAAACTGATTTTATAAAAATGTAGTAGTTGCAAGCACTAGAGATACCTTTTTTTCTGAGAAAATGTATCTGAAACCTGAATGTTTCCTGTGAGTGAAACCACTTGGTACTGCATTCAAGGGATTAGGCAAGGTTTATTTTCACATACTGGGTTTTGTTTGTTCATATCAGCAACTTTGTTAACTGCCTTTTATTGCACTGTCTGATCCAGAAATTGCCAAAGTAAGTTAATGTTAGGTCTGTGTATGTTAGGTGTGTGCTTTCTTTGTGAAATACATTACATCTTTATTTTCCTGTGACGACTTAACATTCTTTAAAATAGTTATATCTTTAAATAATTTTAAAATGAAAGGTATCACTTCAAGATTTCTTTCAAAATATATGTGAAAATCAACTTTCACCTAAATTTAAAATAAAATAAAAATCTAGAATGTAATCTTCTGTCTATTGTAATTTTCTGTCATCTGAGTAGTTAATTTATTTGTAATTTGCTTTTTAATTAAAAATTATGTTTCCTATTTGGAAGAATGACTACAAGAGTAATAATTGCAAAGCTAAGCTGCTTGGTTATAGTGATGGTTGCAAGGTCTATTAGTATTCTCATCCTAAGTCCACTGTATAAAGAGGTGAATTGTATTACAGTAATTTGGTCAAAATTGTACTGAATCCAAATGACCCAGGGTCCTGGTGCAATTCCAGCCGTAATTTCCTTTGCTCTAATACATTTGTAGACCTCCTGGTCCAAAATAATTAAAAGACTATTAGATTTTGAGATATATTATTGCATCATTAACACCAATACACTTTTTAAGTTGATTTTTGTTTTTAATAATCCCTTCAAAGATCTTAAAGCACCATAAAACATCAGGGAATTTGGCGTCAGGAATTAACTCCCTGTACATTAAAGCTCTGGATGAGTACTTCTGCCAGCTCTCCCATGACAGCACAAGCAGATTGGCAAAGCTCCTGAACAAGGAGCAGCTTCCACTTCACTTGCTGCCATCACTGGAGACCCTTCCTGAGTGAGATCAGTTGCACAAACAGACGTTCTCCAAAATACTGGTTCAAAATAAAAGAAAAAGCATCAAATACAGCAGCAGCTCCTTCCCTGTTCAGAAAGATGCAACTTGGCTGCTGGGGTACTTTGGCTAATAGAAGGTGTTTTTGTACTGGGGCTGTAGGAGCTGCCCATGTGTTATGAGCCCTCCTTTTGCCGTTACCACAGGTGGGGTCCCTGCACTCCTGCCCTCCCCAGCAACAGCTGGATTTACAGCTGGAGCAAATCAGGGCAGCACGAAGTTTCCTGTGAGTGGGCTGGGGCCCCAGCCAGCATTCAGAAGTTCCTATAAGAAGTTCTGCTTGCTCTGCAGGCAGAGGCAGATGTGACCCTCTGGCTGACTGCTTGGAGCAGTCTTTGTGTTTGTAAGCATGAGGTAGCAAAGAAATCCTTGTGAAAGAGGCTCCTGAGTAATCAGGGTGGGAGGATTTCCTGAGGTTTGGCCTGTATGCAGATGGCAAGGTCATCTTGCAACTCAGCCCATAGAGTTTACTGATTTTTAAATGCTTCAGTCTGGGATTTATTGACCACACCTGATTTTCGAATTGACCTTTAATATTCGGACATGTAACTGCATGCCATCGATGTTTCATCATTCAGGATGAGGTGCCAAACCTAGAAAAAAGAACAACAATAAAAAAATTAGGGGTTAATTACTTCCAGATAAAGGGAGGAATGAGAGAAGTGGTGAAGGGATGCTCACTCCTCCTGGAGGCAGTGCTGCAGAGCCATTAAATCTGAGGATGTGCTGTTGTCAGTAGTAAACCATCTCCTTGCTCTGGGGAGCATTGCCCTGACACCCATGTCCTGAGCCTCCAGCTTTCTCGGTTGGGTCTGTCATTGCCACTGCTGCCAGACCTGTCTGCATCACATCTCAGGCTGAGATAATGAGTTTGGCTGGACTAATGTCTTCTGAGCACCACTTAGGCATCTGTGTACCTGATCCTCTTAGTGCTTCCAGCCCCAGGAGCACAGTCCAGGGAAGCACCTGCCCTAACCCAGCTTCAAAGCTCCATGCCAAGTGAAAAGAGATGCCTCAGATTCATGTTAGCAGAGGAAGAAAGTTGTGTTTAAGCTGTTTTGCCTGAACTAGCATCATTGGTTGATGTAGTCAGTGAGCAGATCATTTGTGCACACAAGAACTGCAGATTGAACAAACACAAGCTTTTACCTGTGGCAATTTTTGGCATACTGAGGTTTTCTTTTTGAGAAATCCAGCACTCTCAAGTATTTTCTCTTCACCTATCCAAACAGCTTGCTTTCTTATGTATCCCATGATCAACTTTTTCAAAAACCTTCAGTAATATGAAATCCAAAGTGGTTTTATTCTGGCTTTAGGCAGAAAGCAAATAAATGTATGTGAGTTCTTTAGCATGTGCTTGCAATAGCACTTATTACAGGTTTCTCTTATTAGAGTACCTAAATATCCAAAGCAGTAATTCCATAAGGAAGCAGGTCTAGTTATTTTCTTCCCCACAGGTACTTGGCACCATCACACAATAAGGGTTTTGCTCCATGTCTGTGGAAAATTTATGGAAATCTGAGGCACATGTTATAGCCCAGAGGTTCAGTGTCCAGCGATCACCAGCATGATATTGCTCTCTTTGTTTGTCTTCCGGACAGTTACTTTGTTTTTGGAGTTTTGGAAAAGAAGGCAAGCTGAACTGGAGTATGAATGGGACACAGTTGAGTATTTAGAGCAAGAAGAACAAGTTCGCCCCGAATACGAAGCTCAATGCACTCATGTGGTAATGAATGAAATCACACAGGTAAGGAATATTTTGGTAACCAGTCACAGCTACTGCAATAGGCATGTTTTGAGAGTGTGCTATGAAAATGATGAATCTGGACTGGAGCTGTATAAGATGATTTATGGAGAGCTGATAAACTGGCCTGAGAATAGTGAGTGTATAAATTCCAGATGTGTGGAAAGGAATTAGTACCTGACTCTAGGCACCTTGTAGGTGCTTGTTGGAGGAGCTAGTGAGGCTCCTGTGTCATTAATGAACAGAAGTAGGCATTGTACCTAGCTTAGGAGACTAACTCTACCTTATTAAATGCCCAAATCAAAGATTCTGTGCTGCTGCAAGAGGCCAAGATCACAGAGCACTTGCTATCTTTAACTAAGAATACATCAGGAAAAAAGGATGAAATGGAGCAAAGGATGTTACGTTACGTATAAAGACAAGACTTTCTTTTTTTTAACCAAATATATTTCTATATATATAAATAAGTATTGTTGCCAAGTGCAGGTGGATGCAATTACAATTAATAACAGCAAACTCATGAGGACAAGGGTAATCCTCAATTTAATGCAGTAGGATTCATATCTATGAGGATCTTAGTTTAGATTTCTATTTATTATACATTTTGAGTAGCTTCAGCTTCTGTAGCTCACTCCAGCTCAGCTTCACTTTTTATTGTTCCCTGTCAATATATTACTCTGGTATTTATCAGATCATTTTCATTGCTTTCACATTCCATCCACATTACACTAATGTTTATTAGAGGGCACTTGAAAAGTTTCAAAATTAACTGGCATGGTTGAAACTATCCAATATAGTTCTTCTTTTTATATCTTGTACTACAAAAAAAAAATATGATTCTATTTAAAAGCTTATAAACCTATTCCACTTTTAATATATAAAGTCTCAGCTAGAAAGTTCTTTTCAGACAGTTCAAAAAGTGATGAATATGCTAAAAGATAATGGTTTTTATCTTCAGAGATCCTATAGAGACTCAGTGATTTTTCACACCACCACACTGAAGTAGACATTTTCCTTTGAGAAATATAAAGATCGAGAACCAAAATTTTAGTGCATGCTAATTTCAGCCCATGAAGTTTGAAGGCCACTGGTGTGGATACCATGGCTAGCCAAGAAGGATGGGTCCATTCAAAAGGACTATTCAGCCAGGCATAGCTGAAGTCAGTACGAGCTGAGCACACACAGCTTCTATGGAAGTCATTTTTGTCTTAGAATGGACAGTAAAAAGAGATACCTGTAATCAGGTAAGACTTTTGAAATCATGAATAAGTGTGAGTTCCCAGGATAACAAAGCAGAAAAGGAAAAAAAGCCTGGGATTTCTTTTCTTTTTTTCTACCCTCAGTATCACAAAGGGCTAATTAGAGTAAAGAAGAAGATACGAAGAAAAGATCGGGTGCATCCTTGATCTGTTTCTGAATCTTTTACAGCAAGAAGAACATGTGCCATACACTGCCTGTGGGAAGTGCATACGCATGACTTTCTGTGCAAGTGCAGTCTTCTTCTGGGTAAAGTTCTCCTTTTATTCTTTTACCTCATGAATTCACTTCAGTAAATGTCTAAATGTCTTAAAAAAAAAAAAAATCCTCTTAGCCTGAAAAAAAGGTATCAAAAGAATAGGATCAGTTGGATTTCCATCTGTTGCATAAAACAGGACCATAAAGTGTGGACCCACATGGACAAGGTGGTTGTAGTTACCATTAGCATACAGTCAACAGAAAATATGTATCAAAATATCCCACGGCTGTAGCTTCTGAATGCTGTCCATTGTTTTTTCCCTCATTACTTTAAGATAAATGTCTTTGCTTTTGTGGGGGGAGTAGTGGCAAGGGTTTTTTTTATATGCTGTCCCTGTCGGTGTCCATCCTACTTGCTCCAGCCATTTGGTTTGGTGTTGTGCCTCACAGCACTGAACCTTTCAGGTTTTTGTTTCACTTAGAAGAGCAAAGCTGGAAGATCTTTAATCTTCCAGAGCTGCTGCTTTAATTAAAACTAAAACTTGAAAGAAATCCAATCACCCATGAAAAAATAGATAACACGGTGAGCATGTCCAGAGAGGTTGTTGCCTTGAAAAGCTCAGTGTTTTAGCAAGCTGCATGTTCTCCTCGCCTGTAGCACAAGCAGCAGCTGGGAAAGAACTCGTCCTAGATAACACGAGACATGGCAGCACCAAGACAGTGGTGGCTGGCAGCCTGGGGGAGCCTCTTTTAACACAGCTGAAACACAAAGAGAAGACTGGCTTGCTGTTGGGTTTAAATAAGCTTCATGACTTCAGGCTGAAAGGAAGAGATTTGATCTAGTTTTGTCATTGTGTTACTGTACTCTCTTATTATGTGCCGGGAGTGTGGAAGTAGGCAAATTGATGGCATTTTGCAGCAAGGATAGTAAGTAAAAGACTCCCAGCTCCTAGGATCTTAATTTGAATAATAGCTAGAGAACTAGCAAGAAAGAGAAGTAGGAAGGGAAGAGATAGCAAGTAATGTGGGGTGCCTGGAACAAGATTACAATTCTTGCAGATCACATCACTTGGCTTAAAATGTGTCTGTTTCTTTGATGGGTCTGTAGTCTAAAATATTTTCAGGTGTAAGTGCAGCTACAGCTCCCTCCATGGTCAGGACAGACCTGCTAACACATTTACCATCCTGACAATTGCCCGGTGTCAAGAGAGGGAGATTTCTTCCTAACTCCTGGAGCAATTGCAGGCCTTGAGGCATTAGATTTGATTACGCATCTCATTATCTTATCTCGCATGGCAACAAGGCTTGTTATTAGTCATAAAACAGACCGTCTCTTTTTGTTCCTGCAGATTGACTGTGCTACATGAAAAATGCTTCTTTTATGGATTCTAGATTTATTGCCTTCTATTTTATTTGAGACTCCTCTTGCACTCATCTTGTGTGATGGAATAAAAGGCACACAATCACTTTCTTTTGCCTATTGTAAAATGTGTTTCAAACTAACTTTTCCCCAAAGCCAGTGGTTCAACATTAACATATTTCTTACATTCTCTTGGCAGATTCTTCTGATTATTGCTTCGGTTATTGGAATCATTGTCTACAGGCTCTCTGTTTTCCTGGTGTTTTCTGCCACTTTGTCAAGGCACATTAATGGCACACAAGCAATCCACAAGTACCTGACTCCACAGACAGCCACCTCAGTAACTGCCTCACTCATCAGCTTCGTAGTCATTATGGTTCTCAACATCATCTATGAAAAAGTAGCAATCCTGATTACTGACTTCGGTATGTCTCTTCTATGACTTGGATTGAAACTTTGGCTAAAATAACAGGCAAAAAAAAAAAAACATTTATATGTAAAGGAAGAACACCAGTGAATGAATACCTCTACCATGTATTTCAGAATTTTCCCACCAAATCACACAATGCCATATAGAATTTTTCAAATACAGATTTTCTCAGTATCAAAGGAATATGATATTCTGCTCTTTGCCTGAAAACTCCTTGTATAGCCAACATGAAAGATGAAAGATGCTTGTAAAACAGACAAAGCAAAGAAAATTACTATAATAACCAAGCTTTATGAAAACAGATCAGTAACGCATAACACATTCGATTACATTAGCTTTTGTTTATGAGGAGAATAGCTATTTTCTTGTAAATAAATGAAATAGGGTCACTGTTCCAAAGCTAGATACTATTCCCTTGTTATTAAATAGATAAACAGTAACAAATATTATTATTCTTTATATCCAGGCCATCAGCATTAAAGTAGCTATTTACTTCAGATGTGTGAAGTAGTGTGGTGTTTCAATATAGTTTCATTTAATACTGTTTCATCAGTTCAAAGTGTTACATTTGCATCTTTCCCAAGTGTGCTGGATTTGGAAGAGTCTTTTCCTGAGTTATTAGAATTTTTACTTGCTCTTTTTCTTTATCATCCAGGAACAAATTCTTTCCTTTTTACAACCCATATAGTTTTAGAATTAGCATAATAGGTACAGTATACATAGGGATTATATACAATCTAATTCGTAATGCTCTTGGTTTTATTAAGGAATACAGGGTACACACATACATTTCCAACTGAGGCTCCAAAGCAGCTTGTAGGTAACTTTTTATTATTTTATGTATTTATTTATTTATTTATTTATTTATTTTTAATTGCAGAGCTTCCAAGGACACAGACCGATTATGAAAACAGTCTGACCACAAAGATGTTCTTGTTCCAGTTTGTCAACTACTATTCTTCATGCTTCTACATAGCCTTCTTTAAGGGTAAATTTGTAGGTCACCCTGGGAATCCTGTCTATTGGCTAGGAAAGTATCGCAATGAAGAGGTAAGAATATATCGTTGTGCTTGCTTTTAAAAACACGAGTTTTTAGTCCTCGTATTCTTCTACACTTTGAATTGTTTAATGTGGTAGTATGTATTTAACATGAGGGTTCAAAAAGTGACTGCTTCCCAAGTCACTTGCCTCCTTAGTATAAATAACAATGATACAAGACCAGCTGGGCTTAGAAACATATTATTTTTACCCAGAGAAGCTCATTTTCCTCTGGTCAAATTATCTATTAGTCAGCACATAGGGGAACAGGAGTACATGCAGAAACAACAGTAGATGCACTCCTGTTCTGATCCTCACCTGATGACAGTGCAGTACAAAGCTGAATGGCTTCACATGGTATTTCATGCTTTCAGTAGTGTCCTGTCAACCCATCACATGTGAACATATTTGGAATTGGCTTTTATCTTAATTACTGGAAAGGTTTGCCTAAATAGTCTTTCTGTATAGCTTAAAGAAATGTTATCACAATAAAATAGGAATTCATAATTTTAAATGCTTCATTCATGCCTGAAAAGTTTCCCAACTGCATTTTTTTTCATGTCTCTCCAAAACTTTAGTGTGATCCAGGTGGATGTCTCCTTGAACTCACAACTCAGCTTGCCATCATAGTAGGAGGTAAAGCAATCTGGAACAACATTCAAGAAGTGCTTCTTCCGTAAGTTCAAACTATTAAGGAATCTGCTCTTTCATATTTGAAAGATGCTTCTTTTACTTGACGTGTTCAGGCACTTGGCCACTAAATTTGAAGGGAGCATATTGTATTCTGAAAGAACAAGACTAGTCTTTTGGGGCCTTTTTAGACAGTTTGGATATTTTCGCTCTGGTAGTTTTGAGCTCCTGTCTCTGTCATTTTGACTGATTTTAGTTCTAATCAGAAGTGCTTCCCTCCTCTGCAGATCAGACTTAATGTGTTTCAGGCTGGATACTCAAAACCTGAGGCAACAGAACTGATGAAAATATTGAACTAAGTACAGGTGCTTAATATTGAATGGAATGACTTGTTATACATTTAAAATTATGCATACTTTACTAATTTAACTCATTTAGTTTTATAGTTAGGTTTGAATTTCATAGTCCATATATATTCTCTCCTAGAGTCGCAGATCTTTGGAAGGTCATGTTTAATGTAAACAAGAAGCAAAGATACAAAGATCTTCTCTAGATGAAAATACTATCCAGGTCTCTGTTCCAGCTCCCAGGACTAGTTGTTTATTTTATGCTGATCAGTGACTATTTATATCACTTGGAGTAGGGAACTCCCAGTTTGTTTATGCCCTCCTGAATGCCATAAACACCAGACCACAACATCGTATACCCTCTGGTTGCAGTTCTTCCAAGCCCTTTTGCTGCACAGCAAAGGGACTTCAAAGCATATCATAAATACTGTATAGGGTTGAGACTAGGGTGCTTTGCTGAGTTACAGTTTCTCCATACCCAAATGCTCCATATATGCTTATATTTTTTTGAATGTAGTCTATTGATCACTGAAAATGCCTACATACAGTTCACCAGATTTCTTAAATTTGCATGTAAGCCTTTCAGACACAAATTTCAGTCCCAGGGAAAGTAACAGCAGATAATCCAGACACAAGAAAGTCATTGGATGTAGTCCTTTAACACTGTCACTCATAAAATCCTCGCAGACAAACTGTTGATGTACAGGATGAGCAGACACTGAGGTAGGGGAAGTCTAACCAGAGGTCTACATTTAACTTCACTTTCTGCTACCCTGAATTTTATGTGGTCATTCACTTGTACAACATAAGTATAAACCACTACAATTCTAATTTGTCACCCTCGTACATTGTGGTTACATATAACTACATCCAGGATAAGACAACAGAAAATTATACTCATGTTTGAAGGAAGTTTTCAGTAATTCAAGAATAAATGAAAATCACTGTTCAAAGCTATAACAGCACAAAAGCCTTTTTTTTCTTTTCTCTCTCTCTCTTTTTTTTTTTTTTCATTTACTGAACTTTGTAGGCTATTTTACCAATTTTAGTTGTCTTTTTCCCTCTGACTGACAGTTGGGTTAAGAATTTAATTGGAAGGTACTGTGCAGATGCTAGATCAGAAAAGATCGTTCCACGCTGGGAACACGACTACCACCTGCAGCCCATTGGAAAACTTGGATTATTTTATGAGTATCTTGAAATGGGTAAGTATTCAGTTACAATTTCTTATCTGTTCTGGACACAAATATGCTCTGAAGAAAATTTTCATACAAGCAATGCTTAATACATTTAAAGACAGAGGAGGTATGAAGTTTATAGAGAGCAAAGACAAGTTTTGATTTGTCATTATAACTTTGCAAGTTTTTATTAAACAGCTATGGCTCAATTCGACTTATAGCTAAGAAACAGAGCAAGTGATTGCATAAGGAGGTGCAGTGCTGCTTCTTTGCCCCATTCTCCAAGAAACATGTCTAGAAGCCAGAACACTGCCACCTTCTAACATCGTAGCAGCAGATTCCTGTATCAGCCTGCTGGGTCTGCAGTCACTTACATGTTTCTGGTTTCTTGGTTGCTGGCAGTACTCTGGTTTGTTTGCCACCATCCGTCCTGCAACAGAATTGCAGCACGTTTGTCACAGCACCCAGACACCCATATCATCATTTGTTAGCACAGGCTGTGCAACATTGCACTGAGACACCTGGTCATTAGATTTCCAAGTCTACACGGTGAAGACATGGGAAAGTAATGGATGTTTAAATTCCCCTAACAGTTCCTCCTGATGTTTTGTGAGATTTAACATTTTCCTGTCCCCTCTACCTGTCAGTTTTTCCAGTACTGTTGTGTTCATATATCCTCATGCGCACATTGGCTGAACATAAGATTTGTTAGGAACTCGACTACTCTTTCTCACAGTATGAGTAAATGAACTGTATATACTCGTATATGTTTATCTCCTGTAAATGAAAGCATCTGTGTTTGTGACCTCTCCCTTTGGCAGTCATACAGTTTGGCTTTGTCACCCTGTTTGTGGCATCATTCCCCTTGGCTCCCCTTCTGGCTCTTTTTAACAACATGTTGGAAATCCGGCTGGATGCATGGAAGCTGACGACCCAGTTCAGACGCATGGTGCCACAGAAGGCACAAGACATCGGCGCGTGGCAGCCCATCATGCAAGGCATAGCCATCCTGGCCGTGGTGACCAACGTAAGTACTGGGCCAGCAGTTACCAAAGGTAAAACGCCTTCACTGCAAGTGTTACATCCAGATGTGGGAATGCTGTGTGTATCCATGTGTGTCACGCCAAAGTGACCACAGGTGAAGTAAATTCAGACATTTCAAAGTTCCTATATTGCTAATTCACCAAGACCTTGTAGAGGAGGCTGCATTGTAAGCAGCCTGATTATTGTGATCCAATAATCCATTGGATTTTACCATGTTGAGTTGTTTAATTATTTATTATTAAACAGTAGCTAATATGTATTACATTTCTAAATTTCCACTGTTGCCCTAAATTTCCACTGTTACCCTCAAAAGAGCAGTGACCACTCTTTTCCTCTGCCAGTAATTGTCTGTAGTTAGCAGACTTTTTCAGAAGACCAACATTTTCTAATCTTGCCACTGAGATTAGGGATTCATTCTGACACACCCAGAGATGGCCACTTCCCCCAGGACCTTCTCCTTGCACCTTATTGCACTCACTAGGAGTTTCTGGAGGAAACAGTAAAGTCTGAAGATGGAGTTCACCTCCGCCTAAGCTGCCACAGGAGTCTCTGCCTGTTTTGAGGATGGTGGAATTTGGGTAAAAGGAAGGAGATGGAAATGAACACGCTACCATAGATAGTTAGGGGATTCATTTCACAGAAAAGAGCAGGTATTCAGTTATTTGAAGGCTTCTCAAAATGGCTATAATGCATTTCTAGAATTTTATCTCACACTACAGAAATTTAGCAGGTATGATAAATATAGATAGGATATAGAGTGGAGTCTCAGGACAACATAGAAGCAGAGAAATGAACATGGAGAAGTATTGGAAGTAAAAAAGAAAGGAAGGGAAAAAGGAGGATTTCCATGAGGATGGAAAATTTACAAGAGAATCCGGGAGACAGAGAACAAACCAGAGTATATGCTCCAGCGGTTTCACACAGATCTACTGAGGCAAATCAAACATAAATCCAGATGTTGTGTAGGCATGTGAAACATCCAAGGCATATCAGTAAATGTGATGTTAAAATTTAAAATAAAAATGGTGCATCTTTGGTAACACATGTTCAGATTGATAGAAATGTCAGGTTATACCGGAGATACTTTGGAGCTCTTTTGTTTTAGTGCTTGTGTAAAAAAAATTGTAAATGACAGCTTTCCTGGCAAATCAGGGAGATTGTGTAAATTCCCAGATGAAGCATAGCTGTAGCAATATAGAGGCAAAATTACGGGTGCATTAATGTCCTCTTTTGAACTATGCTGCTCCAAAACTTGTAAAATAAAAGATGAAAGATGTCTCTGGTGCCCTAGAAGAAAAACAAGTATGTTATGCTATTGGATAAGCCAACTGTCTTTCCTCATCAATCCACCTGGGGCTTGTAGTACCACTATGAATTAACAAGTTGGGTATACACCTTAAAATTATTCTAAAATATTGTAATGTGTACCTTAGTCACAGTCCCTATGATATTCAGGGTAGAGTTAAAGTTGCCTTGGTGGCCTTATGGTGACTCATGTGTGTAGGCATCTGTTAGGAATGTACACATGCCCCTGCTGTACCTTCTGCAGAAAAGTGGCCCAACAATACTTCTATCACAGTCTGTCACTACCCATTCACAGCCTGTCTGAGGCTAATTGGAGCTTTACAACATTTTCACTCCAAATTCCTCCTGATGTGCTACACCACTCAAGAGACATAACTGAAAACTCAAAGCTCTCAATGTACAGAAGTGCATTCACAGCTCAGTTTTGCCCTCTGTGCTCCTTGCCTGGCACTCAGTCCCACTGCGGATGAGACTGCTAACAGTATACATGCCTCTTTTCGTAACCCTGTTTGGAGATCTCATGGTCAGATGAAGTTAATCTTAGTAGGAGCGTAGTGCCCCCGCCACTGACATCAGGCAGGTTGGTAGCGTGCAAGGGCACAGCACCAGAGGAGCCATGCTCAGAAGTCCCTGTTACAGGTGCTGTAAGGAGCTCAAACAGATCAGTATTTCTTCTGAGCAAAGTGTGGGCTCTAAAGCCAAATACTAGAAGCAGTTTTCTGCCTTTAAGTATGTTTTTTTCTTGTTTGACATCTGGGATGTAGTGCAGGCCATCAGTCTTGCCTGTGCCATCTCTTTGCCATCCCCATTTTCTCTTAGTACTGTTTCTTTTCTACGTGACTGTTACAGATTATTAGACTTAGGTATTGTATCATCCTCTCCGTCATGCATTGCCTTTGTAACACCTGTGAGTAGCTTGCAGGAAACTTTTGCACAAAACTGTCTGTTTTGAGACTTGCCACTCAGGCACTGGACTTGCTATTGCATGATATCAAAGCATCTGTTCTTGATTTGTAGACTGATTTTAATTAGCTATGGTATAAATGGAAAACTGTGCATGATATAGCTTGGGAAGTAGAGAATGTGCTATTTGTTTGTAGTTCTCCAGTACAATACACTACAATGCAGCCCATAATTCAGGAGGAAAAAAGCTTTTCCTTTGAGAGGATGCCGTAGGATTAGCTTTCGTATTTCTGTCCATGTAGCACTCTGCAACACATCTGGAGATCATTCTGAGAGAGGGAGGAGAATGAGACAGGGCTCAGATTTATGGTGATGAGAGACCTGGGGCCTTGAAAAAAAAATCAGTAAGAGCAAACATTAAGTTGTATAAATACTGTGTTCCAGAATCTTGTTGAATGATACATAGAAGCTGCATCAAACCCATTCACTACAAACAGAAAAGGATGGGTTTTGCCATATTGTTCAGTTGCTTTTAGTTCTTTTGTGATATGAATGGATATAAATCTTACAGGATAATGAACAATAAGAAATTGTATTTAACTAAAACTTTCTGTGCTTATACTTCAGTTAAAAACAATGTAATTTAGGTGTGAGGTCTTCTTCCTGAAACTGCAAGACACAGTAATATATATTCCTTGTCAGCCAAAACCACCTACACTGCATGTAAATATAAACAACACATAATTTTCACTTCATTGCACACTGGCATGTATTGCTTAAAAACAGTTTTTAAAAGTGTATGCCACCTACATTTGATTCAAGCTAGAACACGGTACAAAAAATCTTTTTTAAGTACTGATCCTTGAGAACTTAAACACTTTTAGGATGCCTCTCTTTTCTTCCTCATCAGCCAAATTAACTTTCTCTCACCTGAACTAAATTGCAACAATATTCTGGAGATGAAAAGGGAGATTTTGGACCACAGTCTCATGCTTAAGTCTTGTTTCTGCAACTTTTGCCTTAACTGCAGTTTTGCTTGGCAGGTGCCTCACAGTGAGCCAGCCGGAAAGGTAAGGCACTAGGACAGCCCTAAGCATTTGGTTGTGGGGCTGCAGGAGGTGAGGCAGGTCCAACTCCTTGCCCTACCTCTTCTTTTCCCCTTGTTGCTGTCTCCTGGTGCTGCCACAAATGCATGGTGAAGCAGATCAAGGGGTGGATCCATCTGGGTTCCCCAGCCAGCCTGTGCCACACTTCACAGCTGCCCAAACACGGGGCATGAGCAACCTGCTAGGGGCAGAGGCAGGAGGGGTGGCAGCGGCTCTAGCTAGCACGGCCACCAGAGCGCTGTCTAAGGAACTGTGTTTGCAGGTATTTTCACACTTTATCCTCTCCCCACCCCACACTGATTCTTGCTGTTCACATTGTGAGGTATTTTTGCCCCTGCCATAGGATTGAAGACTGCTCCCCCAGCCACGGCATGCAAACATCACTAGCTCTAGGCACTGGGCACAACAGGCGCCTCTCATGCTGGCGTGGCTGGGCAGCCTCATGCTCAGCTGCCGGCCTTGCCAGTGGAAAGTCTTCCTCACAGGGAAGCCTTTTCAACCTGCAATAGCGGAGGAGGATGTTGGATTAAAGATAGTTAACCTGCCCTCCAGAATAGGATGTTTTGGGAACTTCGTGAGTTTAGAAAAGACTTCCCACAACAAACCCACAGATCCCATTTCCTACCCGGTTTGTGCCTAGCAGACTGAGTAGGACAGGGACTCTCTTGGGAGCAAGATAAAAACAAATGGTCACGTCATATGTAAAACAGCACTGTGCAGCTGCTACTAAAAAAATGATCTTGGCACCAAGAGCAGTTTCCACATGTACTGACATGACACTGAAGCTTATGAGGCAACTGCCAAGACAAATTTGGACTGGCTGTCACCTCGAAAAGAGCGGGATGTTTCTAGGGTCAGAGATGGATCAGCTATATATGCAATTTAGTTCATTCTTTTACTCGGTCCTCGGGCTTTCTGGGGAAATTTAATTTTATAGTGCTGAAGGACTCTGCTGTGGTTTACATAAGTTTCACCAGGCACAATTTCTTGAAGCATATCACAAGCAGCTCTGGCAGCAAGCATGTTTGCTGGAGGTTACCTTAGAGCAGTGTAAGGTGAGTTTGGTTGCTGAACTCCCTCGCATGCTGATGAGGATAAACATGTATCATAGTACAACTTTTCTGAGGCATCCAGCAGAGCCAGCGTAATTTAAAAACTATACAGAGTGCACACTGCAGAAGGAGATTGTTTTATGCCTGTGAGTGTCTACATGCTCCCTAACAGAGGGAACCACTGACTGGAAATGCACATTTTTATTTTTATTTTTATTTTTATTTTTATTTTTATTTTATTTTTATTTTATATTGTAATGTAAATTTTTAGATACTCAGTATATGGCAAATTATATTATTTAGGCTTCGCCATATATTATGGCTTATTAGTTACATGCCACTCTGTTTTTTTGTCTTCTCTTTCTGAAATGCAGGCCATGATAATTGCTTTTACATCTGACATGATTCCTCGCCTGGTTTATTACTGGTCCTTCTCAGTCCCTCCTTATGGGAGTCACAGCAGTCACACTATGAAAGGATATATAAACAACACACTCTCTGTCTTCAATATATCAGACTTCAGGAATGCAAGCAAGCCATCTTCCCCTTGGTTTGGGAACCAAACAACATGCAGGCAAGTGTCAAATAACCTTTTTTTCTTTTCAAATGACAATGATTTTTATTTTTTTTTAATATCTTACTAATGTAACTCAATTTAAAATATCCAGGAAGAAATGTTAAAACATCATTAAAGTCAGCATACTTTGAATGGCAGAACTGAGTGAAATTATTCACCTATATGTCTGTCCTACTCAGAAACTCAAAAAGTACTTCCTTCATTTTCATTTTCCTCATAACTGATAAGAGTCTCAAAAAAGGAGAAAAAAAAAAAAAAAAAAGGTTTTAAAATAAATTTAAGAAATTATCAACACAGTGGCAAAAAAAAAGGACGTTTAAGTCAAATACAGCTTATTCTGCAGACACGAAGTTTACCCATTGCTGTAGCTCCATTCAGCAGACTGTTCCGGGATGCACTATGCAGGGACATGTCTTGCTCCATCCTCTGGCCACAGCGCCTTACTGCAGAGATTCCCGAGACTAGTCCCTGACTTTCCTGCATTGCCTTCAGATACCGCGATTTCCGCTACCCTCCTGGTCACCAGCATCAATATGAGCATAACATATACTACTGGCACGTCATCGCAGCCAAGCTGGCTTTCATCATTGTCATGGAGGTAAGCATGTGGGGTTTCAAGCAGCAGTTATTGTGAGCATCCTCTTCCCTCCATGCAGAAAATCCTTCAAAGCCATTCTGTCAAGACACCGGAGGTTTTGGTGTGCAACATGTGCTGGCATGGGCAAGAGCTTGGGAGATGTAATTAGGTGTAGCACCATTAGAAAAAGAAGTCTCTGAAGTCATGACATCTGCTGAGGATTGTCGCATGTGTTCGCAGTTTCTTCTCTCAAGAATTTTTAAAGTGATTTCTAGTATCAGAAATAGAAGGGACAGTTGCACCAAAAATACTTATAAACGATCTTAGATGAGGTTTGTACAAAGCCTCATATATACATGTCCATACTACATGTGCACTAACACACACTAACCTGAGTAAAGACTTTCACATAAGAGGTGAGTCTTTAGATCAGCCCCTTTGGTAAAAAAGCCATCACTCCCTCCTGTGCAGCAACTCTCTGGGCTTAGAAAATATAGAAGTCCGTCCAAGATCAAGGGAGAGGAATACTAGGTATTCTTGCATTATAAAATGTACTTAAGGCCTGATCCAGGGACTACTGAAGTCACCAGAAACATTCAACTTGCTAGAGCAGAGATCCCATAGCAGAGGAATGTCGATAGCCCCAGAGGCATTTGGACAAACCTGAAACAATTTCAGAAGAATCTGTAACCAATATTTCCACAGTCAGGGGAGGCAAGGGGAGGGATTGGGCACTGGGGTTCCCTGAAAGCAAGCAGAGGAGTCATTAGTAACATCAGAATTAGAAAATCAGAAATTCTTCTTTATCAGTCAATCTATTAATCTCTGTTTTTAAGATACTGTTCCACTGTGATAGATACTGGTGCAAAGCCTGTTTAAATCCGTAAGAGAGAGTGGGACATTTCAATAATAATAATAATAATAATAATAATAATAATAGCCTGTTCAACCCAACTGACTTTTTTTTTTCATTTTCACCTTCCCTAGCATGTCATATACTTTGTGAAGTTTATTATTTCATACATAATCCCGGATGTATCACAGAAGACCAAGAGCAAGGTCAAGCGAGAAAAATACCTAACGCAGAAACTCTTGCATGAGAACGATCTTAAAGTTGTGAAAAAAACCATGGGGAAAATTGCTGACAAAATTATCAAAGGAGTAGACAGCACTTTCCGACCTAAGTCTGAATAAGTATTTTTTTATATGGAGTAACAGTATTTAGCCAGCTAACACCTGTCCAGATGTTACCAATAGTTAACCAAACACTTTGGATTAATTCCCTTTACTAAACGTTGTTTCTTGCAACTGTCACATGCTCCTTATCTGTTTCCCTTTGGCAAAAGCAACCACTGAGACTTGGTTTACAGTTACCAATTTTTTAAAACAGCTTTATTAAGATATATTTTTTAACACATGAAGGTAAAAAATATTTATAATCTTAAAACAATGCAGATTAATTCTCAAATACATAGAATGCTTTCCACTTTATTTAGGCGTAGGCTATTAAATCTGTTGTTCAACTTGAATAAAACCTTATGAACAAGAATAATTTGTTGTAAGAACACCACCACTTCCTCTGAAGGAGTTTTGATGACTTGACAATGCAGACCCCAGCTATAAAATGAAATGGAAAAGCCAAAACATGAAGGCAAGAGAAGGAAAAGACAACACAAAATCATGTTGTTAAACTATTGCAATTGACGTACTAAGCACTGTTGTGTGTTACACTGAATTAGGTGTACATACTGAGACTTAAATGGATAACAAGATATTTCAATTAATCATGGGCTTGGATCACAAGGAGCAGCAGGACTGTAAGCCCATCTTGTTCATCAATCTCTGTGTAAACAGGAGAACTGCCTTTGCAATCAATGCATACAAACTGACTTTACAGCACTCGGAGTGAGAGGAAAACTCAGACATTTTATCTTTCCCTGGTCAATGTACTTTCATTAGCTCACTTGGCCATTCTGTTCTGAATGAACACAGCCTTGAAGGTCTCCCACCTGTAACAGTAATGAGTGTTAAAATTCTTTTCACATACTAAATCAATATTTGCTGAGGGCTGTATTTTGCATTTCTCCCACACCAGAGGCACCATTCTTTTCCCTGATAGATTTTGACATAGGAAGAATGCACAGCTGGACCTGTTGTGGTACAACACTGCATGATAAATTGAATTTGGACTAGACCATGAATCTATTGAAACTGAAGATCGGAATAAACAATTTAATATGCCTTAACCGTGTTATGAAACTTTAAACAACTAGGAAGATGTTACAAGTGTGGACGAATTTGTTGGAGCTATCAGTCATCTTGAAATTAGGCTGCAGATCTGCTTGGCAATTTTGGCTCCAGTTGTAACCTGGGAGTTAGGAAACTACAGGGTAAGCATGTATGTAGGGCTCCACTTTGTGTCTGCAGCAACGATGTTCCATTTTATTAAATTGCTTTCTCTTTTAATGGTTCTAGTGGACCAATTCCTATGAAATCTGAAAACCAAAATCTTGTTAAAAAGGCAAAAGTATGCCTGCACTCCCTAAACCGCATGATTACTGTTGGGTTTGTAATTTTATACTCTTAAATGTAATTCATATGTGCAATTCTTAGGAAGATTATTTGTATGGCTTTTTCAATATAAAGAAGTTTGTTTGCAGAAACTAAGTAGCATTAATAAGATATATTTTATCCTCGTAATAATCGGAAGGAATCATTTGAATTTTGTAGAAAAACTTCAAAATACTACTCTGTGTACCTCAAGCCTATCCTTTGGAATGGCAACATTTAAACCAGAAGAGGCAGTACATAGCGGAGTTCTTTCAGCAGTTGTGATACACAAGCTTTCACTTAGTATGACTATGCAGAATGATTGCATAGGAGAGAGGAACATGAGAGGAAAGCTTGGTTCAAAAATTGCAATAAGGTTGGAAGATGGAAGACAAAAGCTTGGAGGTTCCAGAGAACACATTTCTGGCATTGAAGAACTGGAGCTTGCTTATTATAATGCCCAGAAAACTTGTTGTAAACATCACCTGAAGACACCTGAAGATGAAAAAGACAAAAGACTCAGGACACAACAGTAAGATAGACCATTACTCTAAGTGACTGTGTACCAGAGCAGTGATAGAACTAGTGCTTCTTTCAACAGGAAATTCTACTCTTGCCATCTCTTTTTGTTTCCAGTCAGAATCATAAAACGTCTTTAAACTTACAAGGAATCAAACAGAAATTTGGCAAATGGATAGGCATGTACTCAGAGGCTTCTAAACAAGACAGAATATTTTATCAAAATGTATCACCCCAATACTGATTTGAGCTTTTCACAGAGCCCACCTGCCCCAGCCCCTGCCCAAGCAGGGACACCCAGAGCAGGCTGCCCAGGGCCACGTCCAGGTGGCTTTTGGAGATCCCCCAGCAGGAGACCCCACAACCTCTCTGTGCAGCCTGTGCCAGGGCTCAGGCACCGGCACAGTAAAACAGTTTTTTCTTATGTTCAAATTACATTTCTTGTGTTTCAGCATGTGCCTCTTGCCTCTTGCCCTGTCGCTGGGCAGTATAATGAAATACTCAGGGTTTTCCTGTGCTATATGAGTTTGTTTAGAAAGGCCAGTCAGCTCTGTGCAAGCTTGGAGCTTCTGATTTTGGCTTTGGGCTGGCATCTCCCTGTCAACAGTAGTGTTCAGCTGAGAGATGCCATTTTCATCTCCCCATCGGGGATCACAGTTTCAAAGTGCCTTAAACACCCTCTCAGGTGCAGTGTTGGAGGACAAGGGCAAACAAGGAGGTATCCCGTGATAAAGGAAAAAAAATAAAAATAAAATGTCATGAAATGGGCCATTTCAGATAATTGTTTGATCTTAAGGAAACTTTGATTGCCTGCTTTGACAGCTGAAGAGACAGGGAGACAAAAGAATTAAGTGTCTTGCCTGGGGTCACACTGAACAGTGGCAGAGTTTAAGACTGGTTTTCTGGTCCTTTTCTTGTCCTTGAGGCCTCTCTCAATTGTCACTTTTCATCACGCATTTCCTGAAGGGGGAGTTGGTCCTCAACATCACTGAGAGTTTATATTCCAGCCTTTAAAATAATTATTAAAAAATAAATAAATAAATAGCATGCTACCCCAGCAAAGTATGTGCTCCTCTTGTAATAAATTCCTAACCACCTAGAATTACAGAATGAGAGAATATCCTGAGTTGGAAGGGACCCTCAAGGATCATCAAATCCAACCCCTGGCCACAACCAAAATTCAGACCATATTTCTGACAGCATTGTCCAAACACTTCTTTAACTCCAGCAGGCTCAGTGTCATGACATGGATATCCTTGGGTGGGTTTCTACATTACCATTTTGTTCAGCTCAGGAGTTTGAAACTCGTCTTCCACTTGTCCCCACTTTCTGGGTGGTGATTCACATCTGGTCTTGGAGCTCATGAACCAGATTCCTTTTGTCTTAAACCAAACCAGAAGACAGGTCTTAGATATGCCCATCATGGTCTCTGGTAGGCATTTTGGGTCTGAAGAGAACTGTGAGTACTTGGTGGGCATCAGCTTCAGCTGATGTCAGTGTCAGCTTTTTGCTCTGTGTTTTGCTTCCCAAGTGCCATGCTACTTGCTAACATAGCCATAACATTCACTTTCAGAAAGCATTATATCAGGAATTTAGTTTGTTTTGCCATGTGCAGTGTTAATCTCAGCACAGTGCCCAAACCTCTAAAGCTGTGCAATGTACATAGCCTCTACCTCCATCTGCTGAAACGTGCACTGCCAGTACACAGCGAGACATAGGAATTAAATGCTTCAGGGGGGTGGGGTCAGCTGCCAACTTAATTGTATTTGTAACTTTTTTCAAGACTGGGTCACTTTAATAATGTTTGAAGATCTGTTTGAAGGGAAAATTAACATTACTTTTAACATATTAATCAATTTTACTCTTTTTACACTTTGTAAGTAGGCCAGACTCTTACCTTGTACAGATGAATCCGTGTCAGTGACCATTTCATTGCCTTAAAGTAAGATGTGAGCACCACAAATTGCAGACCACCGCCACTGTTTTAGATTCTTTGTATGTTGAAAAAATTCAGAATGTAAGAATGTATTTTTTGTATTTTTTCTAAGAATGTTTGCTATTAGTTTCTGAACATTAAGATCTCTTTATATTTATTGTTATTAAATAAAGTCTATTTTAAAAGGATAATACATTTGTTGTTGATTAGCTTTGTTTGTTTTTACATGAACAATATACTGCTGCTGCCAAATGCCACATTTAAATTCTTAGAACGTCACCACTGTCTAATTTCCATATTCCTCCTCTTTTTCAATCTTTTGCCATTAAGCTGTTACTGCTACTGAAATTTATCTCCTGTTTTTCCTGCATCCTCTAGATGGAAGTCATTCCTTTCAACATCACATCGATGACAAGGACCATTATGTTCTCCTACAAATAAACAGTTTAGGTCTTTATACCTTTTCACTCCTGTCATGATAAGCCCCGTGTTTTGTTTCCAAGTCATCGTTTATTTCTTAATCTGAATCAAGTCTGGAAGGTGCTCCCACCTCCAGGCAGTCCAGCTTTTGTGTTCCTCTTTAGGGCTCATGCAGCCCAAGCAGCAGGCAGTGGGTACACGAGAGGCAGCAGCTTAATTTTGACTCAAATACGGGAGAGCAGCAGAGTGCAAGCTTCAGATCTCTCTCCATTTCTCACTCGGTCTCCCTGTTTGAAAAGATATGTATGTAGTTAGTCCTAAATAACCTCCACATGGCTTGGAGCAGTATTTTCGTCATAAGAAAATAATGTATCTTAATAGCCTTATAACAGTAACAAACTTTCCAGGAAAGTTGACAAAAGTGGTTTTTATTTACAACCTGGATGTGCATCAAAAGAAGAGCCTTTAAAAGTTGAGGGTTTCTTTTTTCTCTGCCATGCATATTACATCCTCTGATACAGTTACCCTGTAAAAGCAATGCTAATCACTGGGATTAAAGCTATTTTGTCAGTTAGCAATGATGCAAAGAAATTAAATCACTTCTCTTGCTTTTAGAACATAGTAATCAATTCTCTAATTATTTCCAGCAGCCCCAGCACTACAGGGTTACAGAAGTGCATGTGTGAACACGTACCCTCTGTCCTCTTTGCAGAACACACATATGTGCATACACTGATGGCTGTTCTGCCAGCTATGAAGACCACAACTCATGACCTGCCACATAATGCAAGATGCTCTTTTCCAGTAATGAAAAAAGTCTTCCATCCAGTTGTATCAAGATATACTATTCTCTTTAAATACGTAAGATAAAGTAACCCCTAAGTGCTGAAGAGGAATAAAAGGCATGCAACACTGGACCACGCAGAAAATCTCACTGAGTTCCTTCTTTCAGCAAGCACAAGCCAGTACACCACAAATCCACTTCTAGCATATGAAGAGAGAGTTTACAAAGGAAAAAAAAAAAAAAAAAAAAAAGAAAGAAACTGAAATTCTTAAATTTTACAAGACTAAGGAAATTACAGTCACCTCTGATAGCATTAACACACTATCAGGGATTTTATTTTTTTAGATACTCATTTAGTGTCCATGTAACCCTCTCGCATCATTTCTCTGCTCCTGGGTGGAGGTCACACAGTGAGTGGATAAATAAGTTGCGCTCCCAGCCACAGGCACCTGCCAGCTATTGTCTTACCTCCCCATTCTTCTGAGATCCTCTTTGGACCCCAGTACGGAGTCTCCTCTTACAGCCGCATTGTGCTCATTCATGCAGTCATTTTCTAAACCAGTCTGGCTGCTCTGGTCGAGCACAATTACATTTAAGCCTCTGTGACCAGGGCACTGCAGGATCTTTGCTTTGGTCTGCTCCCTGCTGGCAGTGGGACATGGTGGGTGACCAATCGCTCCTGCTCGTTGCTCAGGCCCCAAAGTCCATCCACTCCACCACGGGTCCCTGACTTTGAGGGGTTTGTCAGGTTCTTGGGTTTTATAGAGCTGAAAGCTCACCAAGAGGCAAGCCGGGGTTAAGGTTATTTGTCCTGTGATAAATCTGCTCCTTATCCCACAATTATTGTAATGACTTTTTCTTTAAAACTAATAATAATAATAATAAGGGGGGAAGGGGAGGGGGGGGAGAGAGAGATTGGGCCATGCTGTGCCTTTAAGAGTCCTCTGCACGACTGCAAACACACAGGGCTGGTCTTGGCACCTGGGCTTGGTCTTCTGAATATCGCTATTCAGGGAGAGCCATTGTGCCTTGAATTTGTGTTTCACCTTAATCCAAAGGAGTTTTCAAGTTCAGACATGCCCTCTGGTTGTTCTTAACTTTGACTGCATAGGACGTTATACCGGCAGCTAAAAATTGGCAGAATCAGGCCCTTCACTATTGTCCTAAGTATGGTCTTGAACAGAATACGTCACTGTTGTTTCTTGGCTTGCCAACACAAACTGTGACCTTGCATCTGAAAACAGCAGGGAGACCAGGACGTGTGGGGACGGCAGAAGCCTGCTGTGCAGCTGGGGGCACAAACATCAGACGGGAGACGTGCAGGAGGTTTGGGTGAGGCTGAGGCTGCAGGGTGAGGGACAGGGAGCCCTGTTTGGTGCTGACAGAGGCTCCGGAGCAACAGCTGAGAAATTCTTTCCATATCTGCTGTTAATTAGTAACTGCTCATTTAAATCTGGGAAAGGCAAACACTGGCCTGCCTCTCCTGCAGTGTGGTGCCTCCAGATTAGCGACAGAGAGACCTGTTGCAACTCAGTGCTTACCTGCAGAGACACTCCATTTTCTTCTCTTTAAGAAGTACACATGCTAAAGCACATTGTGTATTATATCACTGTTTTCACACCCTTCTGCAAATTAATAATAAAGAGAAAAAGTCTGCATTTGTGCTTTTCATAGCTTCAGACTTTAACTGGAAGGCATACATGCAAAAAAAAAAAATCTGTTTTCTTTCCTTGTCACTCTGCTCCCATATTTTTTCCCCAATGATCTATAAGGGGGGGGGGGAAACATGTTGCCATCCCCAAGAGGCGCCATTAACAAATCTTTTCTTATCTTGCAGCCAAAGTAATGACATCTTATTGACAGCACAGCAGAGCAAACAATGTCTTATTGAAAGCTTCAGTGCTGGAGGATTTGGGCTGTCCTCAGGACTTGAGACAAAGTAATGAAAACAGGTTTTGCTACTAAATCAAAGACAATGACTGCTCTAGTTCTCCAGTGGCCTTTAGCGCTCCCAGACACACAGGAGGTGTGTATAGCTCACCGGGGTATCACCCACACTACAAATTCAATCAAGTACAGAGACCTTGCTGCGAGAAGGATGCCCAGAGTAGCAGGCAGTTAAAGGATAAGCTACAGCACACATGAGAGCAGCAATGAAACTTTTCCTCACAACTGCACATGATGTATGGTTTCCTACAACTTGTTTTAGTCTTAAACAAGTTTGTAAGTTATTTGCTAATTTTTGTACCTCATCAAATTAATTGGGGCAGCTACAGACATTTTTGAGGACTGAACTAAGATGGTGATTTGGGTTTTTGTTTTTCATGACTGTGTAAGATCTTATTAAAATTATTAATGTACCTTTGTTCTTTAGGTAGTGTCTCTTTCTTGCAAGCTCCTTTCAGCATCAGCATCCTGTGGGTAACAGGAGAATTTTGCAAACCAAGTATCAGAATTACATCCATTGTACACATGTGACTTTATCAAGCCTGTTTTGAAGATGTTGCAAAGCATGAACCCAGCAGAAAATTACCTAATTTTTCACCTATTCAGCTTGAATAGTGAATCAAACGGGCTTATTACAGAACCAGCCAGCAACAGCATCAGTGCTGGTGCGAGGGAACGTGCAGCCAGAAGTTGGGGTCGGACCTTCCTGTTCAGGGGTAAAGCAGAGTCAGATCAGCTCAGCCTCCCTGAGCCTGGCACAGGATGAACTACAGCTCTCACAGCTACATTACTTCACAGAGAAGTAACCTGTTTTGCAAATGTTTTTTGTTTTTTGTTTTTTTTTCTCTAGTGGGAAGAAGTTAATTCCTTTTGTTTATTTGTGTGTTTACAAAGCCAATGCATCACATTTGTACAACGCATATATAACAGACTGAGAAAGAATGTGAACATACATTAAGGAAGAGCTCAATTTATCAGTGTTAAATTTAAAAGATCTTAGATTAAATACAACTCTTACTGTTGAGCAAACAAAGATTAATATTAAATCCTGCCTTTGCAGGAGAGAAGGAGTGAGCAATATGTGATGTCTTAACTTGTGAGTATGCATCTTCAAAATGCAGAGCCAGAGTCAGAAGGAAAGTGGAAGGGGGCTGAATTCAAACCTCCTGAGGAAGCTCCAGGAAGACACTGGAGGGCTTGCTAAGGAGCTAGGCTCATTTTCAGAAATGGCTTTACACAGAAATGTTAACAACACCGGCAAACAGCTGACTTGGGAAGACCACTTCCATTATCCAATACCCCACTTTGATTAAAGCTGAATTCTTAGGGTAAGAAAAAATTGCTAAATAGTGTTTCTCTTCCCCTGTTTGCTACTGTAGCTCCTACAGAGGTGTTAGAGGCTCTGCACAATGCACTCCTAGGAGATCATTCTTCTAATGAGCAACAGACAAGTTGTGGATCAGACAGATAGACCCAAAGAGACAAAATTCAACATGAGGTACAACAGGCTTTCCAACTTCCAACATCTTCATTCAGAAAGGGGATACAAGTGTGCCTCAGCTTTGAGGTGGATTGCTTTTTCCTCCATGGCAGTTCTTCATTGCCCCACTCTGGTGGCATCTCTCAAGCCTGACATCCTACAGCAGCAGCAAACTTTTAAGAATACTGCACCACCACATCAGTGGGATTGCCACTTGAAAGGTCATGGTATCATACAGATAAACTTTTTGATTGTCCATTATTGGAAGGATTTGAAAGTTGCAACCACATAGTCTGAAAAAGCATTTTTTTGCAAGATTCTTTTGCAAGAATCTCCATCATTCAGCTGACAGACACCTTACATCCAGGTTACTTCATTACCTATCCCCAGTCACACTTTTAATACGTAAATGAAAACATTACATTTGGTCAGTTTGTAAAACGGTTCCAGGTAAGATAAATTTAATCAAATCTTTTCAACAATTCTAACTTCAGAATCCTAAAGTACATCCCATCTATTCTCTATTCCAAAGAGGAAAAGTTTCATGCTCTGCACAACCAAGCATGATGAGCCACCCCCCATATCCCTTTTGCTTCAATTAAACCACCAGACTTGTTTGCACTCTGTATTTCCAAATTCTCTGGAAATATTTTGGTTGGTTGGTTGGTTTTGTTTTGTTCTGAAAGATCAGAAAATCCAACTTTGGTTTCTTTTCCTTTTTGGATTTTATTGACACAAAGGAACCAGGGCTGTTCCAGGTCAAGAAGACACACCTTTATTCAGCCATGGCGAAAAAGGACATTGGAGTGGATTTTTATCTTCATGACATAAAAACTGCACTCAACCCTTCTAAATAAGGAAGATCACCACAACTAATAATGATTTGCATATATATATAATATAAAAATGAAATATAATTGATATTTAATTTTCAAAATGCTCATAAATAAAGAAACAGCTCAGGACAGCAGTGATCTGGAATATAGTCCTGGGCCTTGCCCTTCTCTACATGGCCTTGTCTCTAAGGTGACACTTAGATGAGTAGTCTAAGATACTTTTTTTTTCCTTTTTATTGTAACCTGTATGCTTCTGAATGTCTTAAAATAATGGCTAAGATGACTTCCAGGCTGAAGCTCATCACCGTGTAAGCAGGAGCCACACTGGCCCCTGAGCAAGCCCAGACGGCTGGGTCCCGAGCTTAGCGAGGGCAGGAGAGGCAAGCCACAGGGCCAAGTTTCACCTAAATCAGCATGATAATCACATTGCTTTGCAGAACATTGTCCTTAACAGAGGTTGCTCTTAGCCAGATCCTTAATAAAGGGGATAATAGCTCATGAGAACAACAGTCACAGGAGATATTTCTAGTCAGCTTTTGTTCTTGTACTTGGCCAGTTTGTGTGCTGCCTAAGGGTATAAATAGAGAGACTATAGAGGGGATTAGCAGACTTTCTTTCCAGCAGGGACTCATGTGCCAAAGAGATGACTCTATTAGCATTGTTTCCCCTGAAAGGTTTGTTTCACTCCGGCTTTCAGAAAGCAGCACAAAGTCACCAAACCCTTTCCTGAGGCCCCGTTTTCTCCTCCGAAGAAGAGCAAGGCTTGGTTCTCGCAGCAATCACAGACCTGAATAACAGGGAGTGTACCCTTCCATCTGAGCCAGCGCAACCAGGCTCTCCACCTCGCATTTGCATCTAGGACAAGGTTCCTGTGGGGTTTTGCTCACCTATGAGCGGCACATCAACACAGCAGAGTCACTTTTTAACGACAGCGTTTAACACTGCATATTTGCTGCTGAACGGGAAGTTAGTGATGACTCCGGCCTTTCACTTCCCTGAAAGACAGAGCATGTAAAACGTATCCCGTGTACTGTCCCCCCAACACCATGTGTTAGAGACCAGGAATATCACGGACTGAAAAGCTATGCCTCGCCTCCCCGTGTTTTAGAGGTCTGGAGCATAGACATCAGTATCTGAAAAAGTTACCCTGGGATTCCTGTGTAATTAACAGAGACGAATGGGCACCTTTCAGGTGTGATCCATCTGATCCGTTTTGATTGACATCAGTATGTGGTGAATCACCTGGAGGTAAACAGGCACAGGCTCAGTTGTCTGTAGGTGACCATGCAAGGTTGTATTTCTGCTTCAGTTCTGTCAATCACACAAGCAATTTAATTTACTGAGCGGCCAGTTTCTTCCTTTCTTCCTTTCTTCCTTTCTTCCTTTCTTCCTTCCTTCCTTCTTTCCTTCTTTCTTTTTCCTTCCTTCTTTCCTTCTTTCCTTCTTTCATTTTCTTTCCTTCTTTCCTTTTTCCTTTTTCCTTTTCCTTCTTTTTTAACAAAGTCTCATCATACATGATAGTACTGGATAGAACCTGAAGTACTGTATTCAGTTTTGGGGCCCCCAGCACAAAAAGGATGTGTAAGTATTAGAACAAGTCCAGAGGAGGGCCACAAAGATTATCAAGGAGATGGAGCACCTCTCCTGCAAAGACAAGCTAAGGGAGTTGGATTTGTTCAGCCTGGAGAAGAGAAAGCTTTAGGGAGAACCTATAGCAGCCTTCCAATACCTAAAGGGAGCCTACAGGAAAGGTGGGACTCTCTCAGGGAGTGTAGGGATAAGACAAGCAGTAATGGCTTCAAATTAAAAGAGGGTAGATTTAGATTAGATATTTGGAAGAAATTATTCACTATGAAGGTGGTGAGGCACTGGCACAGGTTGCCCAGAAGCTGTGGATGCCCCATCCCTGGAAGTGTTGAAGGCCAAATTGGATGGGGCCTTGGGCAACCTGGTCTGGTGGGAAGTGTCCCTGCCCATGGCAGGAGGATTGGAATTAGATTATTCTTAAACTCTATCCTTCTCATGGCTGGAGCTCACACAAACACAATATCACCAAAACAGCTGAGAGGTACAGTAGAAAGTGACGTGACTTCCCGATGGAGCCAACAGCTGGAAAAAGATAATGTGGCCACGTCTGTCCCAGGAGAAGCATCAGGATCTCACTCTGCACTAGGCACTTCATAGGGTCCTCCAAAATGTCCACATGTGTTTTTTAATATATTTAAACACCTCTTTGGACCAGCTCTAGATGGCTAGCCTGCCAAAAGACTAAGCTCTTTCAGTGCATGGCCAACAGCATTTCCATAGCAGTGTCACATTGACCAATTTGAAAAATCAATCATTTTGATTTTGTCCATCCATGCAGTGTGCAAAGTCTCTGGCATGCCATAATCAGCTCTGTGATCCAGTCCAATATGTGTGGTGCTAAATTTAAGGAACTAGAAACAACAATCTGAATTCCAGTGTAATCATTCATCCTGGGTGCATAATGCAATGCCAGGATGAAGGCTGAGAGCCAACTAAACAACTAAGTGTGAATTACTATACCATAACTCAAAGGCAGTGGTGTATTTTATTAATCATTTATAGAGCTGCATATTATTAATATATGCAGAAACAGCTGTCTCTCTCTCTGGTGGATTTTGCTTTTGTGAGCAACTTGGGGGAGACCAAGGAGATTAAGAAGCAAAAGCCCAGCAGAGCCTTCCTGAACAAGGAGGAGATCTGCAGAAGTAGGTCACGAAACCTCTCAATACGTAGATGGGTCCTTTCCTCATTAATCTATTTTTAAACACTCAAGACCAGATCCTTAGCTGGTATGAAGTAGTTTGGTCCCATCGACTTGTATGCAGCCAACCACACACTGACACCCCTTGAAAATCTGTCCCGTGCTTATTGAAGTGTAAAGAAACACCCCAGTACATACCAATTACAAATCCAGAAGATATTTTGAGTGTGCAGTAACACAAAGCAGGACACACAACGTACAGCAATAACAGTAAAAACTTGAATATTCTTCATGACAGGGGGCCAAAGTGCTGCTGTATGAGTGCTGTACTGCTGCATGATAAATACATTACAGACATAAAGCTGTCTCTATGTATTTGTAAAACAGATATTACCTTCTTAATCCTTGTGCTTTGCTTACTGACACATTAGAGCTGCCCTCTAGGACTTCTTCCACTTGAGGACTGAATCTCCAAACTACCCTGGAAGACTAAAAAGCATTCTTGGTTTTACAGAAATCAGTTCCTCTTATTTAAGCACTTAAACACATTTAATTTTATGGAAGGTATTTCCCATAATCTTTTTTTCCTTTCCAGTCTATGTACAGGCCTGCTATCTGCAGCACTTTCCAATACAGCAAGAACACTTTGTTTAATCTGCTAACATTTGCACATCAATTCCTCCATGAAAATACAACTTTCAGGAATTAACAATCAATCTCTTAGCTACCTTTAAAAAGAAAGTAAGAGTAAATAAATAAATAAATAAATATTAGGGCTGGATGGGAAATATTTTGCCTCCCCAGAGAGTTTTTAAGAGTCCAAATGTTTAATATTCTACAATCAGGCAAACACAAGACCATGGGAATGTTCCCATGAACAGATTTAAAAGCCTGGAAAAAGCTGAAAGACAGCATTTTCACCTGGGACTCAGGGAAAGCAGAGTGAGGTCCCAATGCCAATGCACAACTATTTCAAATGACAGTATAGAATGATTTCATTAGAAGAAATTCAGAGTCCTTCCCAGCTAACATCCAGTATTTGGGTGCACTCCTGACAAGTTTGATGACAGGAATGTCTGGTTTGAGTCAAGATCTTCATCACCTCAAGATGGGTAGCGGATGTTCACCCACTACAGGAGGACAAGGAGGGGATGTTCCTCCCTGCTCCTCTTTTCCTCACTCTTCTTCATCTTTCCTCCCAGCTTGGACCAGAAATTCTGTACTCTAGTGAAGAATCTCTCTGAAAGGATTTGTGTGAGGAAATACTATGATATATATATATATATATATATATATATATATATATATATCACAGAATCACAGAATCACAGAATCTCTAGGTTGGAAGAGACCTCAAGATCATCGAGTCCAACCTCTGACCTAACACTAACAGTCCCACTAAACCATATCCCTAAGTTCTACATCTAAACGTTTTGAAGACTTCCAGGGATGGTGACTCAACCACCTCCCTGGGCAGCCTGTTCCAATGTCTAACAACCCTTTCAGTAAAGAAATTCTTCCTAACATCTAACCTAAAACTCCCCTGGCGCAACTTTAGCCCATTCCCTCGTCCTGTCACCAGGCACATGGGAGAACAGGCCAACCCCCATCTCGCTAGAGCCTCCTTTAATATACTTATACAGAGTGATAAGGTCACCCCTGAGCCTCCTTTTCTCTAGGCTGAACAAGCCCAGCTCCTTCAGCCGCTCCTCATAGGACTTGCTCTCCAGGCCCCTCACCAGCTTCGTCGCCAATATATATATATATATATATATGTGTGTGTGTGTGTGTGTGTGTATATATATATGTATATACATATATATATATATTTACATGAACAGATTCAATTTAAATTACTCAGTTTATGACAAATAAGAATGAAAAGAATCCAAATAGGTAAGACAATCTCTCCCATGGAAATGTATGAACAAATACATGCACGTGTCCATATTGCTCAATGGATTTTCACATTAACATAATTCTAGAAAACCCTAATACTGAAATACTGCTGCTAAAGTATGTCTAAGTCACACACAGCAGGTAACACCAAAATCCTGACTTTTAATAGCTTTGCCATGCAATTTGACTGAAAGAAAATAGTAAAATAGTAAAAATACAGATGTTATGTAAGCCTTTCCCATTAGTGACATTATTCTTTTAGGCTGGCTTTGGGTGCTCTGTATCTGTCAGGGATGTGTCTTTTTTTTTTTTTTTTCTGGGAGGTTTGAGGAAAACCTGATCCGTGCTTTATACTTTTTTTTTTTTGTAACTTATAAAAGGGTGGAAAAAGATACATCACTTTTGTACCAAGCAGTAAAAAAGCTACATAGATACTAGGTGTTTTTTGAGATTCATGCTTTTAAACATAACTGTTTAGAAAGACTTGTAGTTAAAACAACTGAGTATGTTTGGCTCTAGATCCAAACAAAAACAAAAACAAAAACAAAAACAAATGTGATTGAACAAATTTTCAAGATTGTAAATTTTAAATAAATAAATAAAATCACAATGCAAAAATAATCTTGTCTTAAAAAGCAAACAGCTCAGGTACTTACTTCAGATGTTTACTTTGCTTACAAGGTATGCGATATGAGGTGAAGCACTATCTCACATTGCTTTGGATTTATTCTCAACGCTCCTTTCCTCATTGTAAAACCAGACTGGTTTTAATTGCTCTAACACAAGTGCTCGCAGTGCCTTCACAAGCCCCAGGGAGAAGTGTGCTCCTGCTGCAGGGAAAAGCTCCAAGCTGCCACTCCCAGCACAGTGGGAACCCTCCAGAGCTGCAGCGCCCACACCGCGCTGCCTCCAAAGGCATCTTCCAGTCCTGGAGGGACACCATTGCAGGCTGATTTTCTAACCCCATGCTGTGCAGCTACCACAACCATCTCTTTGGGAAGTTTTTAAATCATCCTGGGTACTAAGAATCTCCAGCTGACTGGGAATTTTTCAACAACCTGTATTTTTCTTTGGAAAAAATGTCGGTTCGTCAAAAGGGGAACTTTGAGAAGAAGCTCTGTTGAAAGCAGAATGGGGAAAATGGAAAAAACAAATAAAAACAACAACGACAAAAACACCACCTTCTTTTCTCTCGAAAAGATGGAATTTCTGCCAAAGTCCAGGGAGACTGAGAGCCCTGGACCCTGGGAGCAGCACCCTCACCTGCAATAACCTTCGTCTCCACAGCTGTGCAGCTCATCTAACAGACTCAGCCTGGGGTAGCGCTCCCCTACCACACAGAATCCAAATGAGGTCTTTTTTCCCTACAGCCAGAGAAGAAGGCAATGTTGCTACAATGGCCTGCCGCACCACTGGTCTCAGGGCTGCTGTTTCCCCAGATATGCATGGATTCTGCTGGTGAAAGAGCCCTGCAATGCTGCGAGATTTGTCCTTGTTCCACAGTTTCTCTTGTATTGATATATCGGAAGTAACTATCCTGGGGAAAACTGGCTGTTTCCAAGAGCTCGTTTTCAGTAATAGGTTTTGAAGACATTTTGGAGCTACAAAATCATACCATCGCAGCTGTTCTCATAAAACTGACGCCAACAGCCTGCAAACTCTCTCTGCAAAGGCCATTTGGGAATACGAGGAGGTTGCAACCACCACAAGGGACCCTTGCAGAGCAGCAGCAGGGCTGGGGTTGCCTCTCCCTGCAAAGACAGCCCAGAGCTGCCAGCCCGTCTCCAGCCCCACCACCACACCTGGCCTGAGGTCTTCAGTGAGCTTTGAAGTGGCCCCAATGCCTCACCAAGCCTCTGCTAGGATTTCAAACACTTTCAAAAAAAAGATGTAGGATAAAGGATGGACAACACTGCTTTATGTCCAGGGCCGGTAAAAAGGGGTGGATGACTGTCTAATTCTATGTCCTTGGGACTAACCCCACCTACCAGGACACATTTTTGAGGTTCAGCTGAGAAAAAGTCTCCTACGGCATCCACAATACCACTGGTACGCAGCACATGGCACATGTGCATCACACCTGTGTAGCAATGAATGAGAAGATTTTAAAGAGACTTTTCTAAGCTTCATGACTCACCCAGAGTCAGGCGCTTTTGTCTTCCTTACAAACTGAAAATTGGGAGTTGATAAAAGGCTTGCCTTTTTCCTCACACTTTTCTGATCTATTTCTTTGGGAATGTCTCTCTTAGACTAGCAAATGGTAATTTAATGGGCTGTTTCCTCCAATATCCAGCTTGTGCTGGTTAAATGCAATACAATTTACCTGTCTGATGGATCAGGAGAGCAATTGCTCCAGGCATGAAGTGAAGCCCATAAGTCCCATACCTCTGCTCTTCTCTTAAAGGTGCAATATAGTTTTGCTGCATTTTCAAAGGGCGGGGTGAATGGGAATAAGGCAACAACAGAATTGCTTTGCTATGTTTTGCTTTTCTGTACTCATTTCTTTACCTGTTGCACTCCTGCTTTTTGGTGTTTTGTTTTTGCTGGTGCTATGGGGAAGTTAGCATGCACGCACACACGCACACTTCTCCCATTTCCTTGTCCCTGCAGCTTCGGTGAAAGCCAGCCTTAATAAAGTTCAGGACTGCCTGTACGTCAGAGGCAAACCAGCTGGCAGCCACCAGCGCCTGCCCGAACGACACAGCTCTGGCAGCAGCGGCACGGATCCTGCTGGCACCTGCATAGGGCAGCGAGGAAAGCTGCGGGCAGCAGAGGCCCCAAACCTGGGAGAAGGCAGTGCTGGAGCTGCACGGACAGGTGCTCACCGAGGCAATAGCAAAGTTATTGAAGCAACACGGTCCTGCCCCCTGGGATGCTCGCAGCTGTGATGTAATCTAATGCAGGGTCCATTTCTGAATTGCGCTGAAAACGGGCTGCAAAATAATGCTGTTAGCAAGCATGTTGAAGGGAAACAGTTATTAGCAGCGTCTTTCAGCTGAGTGCTAAACTGTACAGAAGGCAATAAGGAGGAGAACGTTTCACAGCTGAGACAGCACAAGTTACGTTATAAATTTCAATACCAGGCTACACAAGTTACATTTAATTATTTTGCCTATATTTTAACTTATCAGCTCTTCCCTCTGCCTTTAAACAGGACTTTCTCCCATGCAAAATCATTAATGCCCTATTAACATGAAAAAGCAAACCACTCTGAATGTTAATAAAATAAAAATGCATACGGTTACACTAGTCTTTCTTTCTTTTGTTTGGGCCAGACACATTTCTAGAGGTTGGCTGGTATCACAGGAGGGTAGCATAGCTGTCCCTCTGCAGTTTCAGCAATGCAGGGCCGTTTTCTAATGGCATTATAAATCTAATTTGCCAGATACCTTTATAGATTAACCATTGAATCCATATGCTGAAGAGCAGTTTAGGAGTATTTCAGCTGGGGAAATCTCACAAGATACAAAAAGGATTATGCTGTGGGTTCTGTCTTTTTCTTATTGAAGCCCACTCAAGACAATTTTGCTCAGTCTGAAAGCAGGTTACTTTTTTTTTTTCTGGAAAATAAAAGCATGGAAGTCATCAGCTCAATAGATGTAAGCCGGATGTTAGGATCGAAAAATTAAAGGGAACATAAAGTAAATAAATTTCTAAATATAATACATATTTTTAATATTTTTAGTATTATATAGAAATAAGCAAACACTAAATTTCAGTAGTTCACTTGGAAAAATCTTACAGCTCTTACACGACACTATTACTTTTGCATTTGACTTTAAAAATGATCTTTCACTTCCGCATGTACACTGAAATTGAAAAAGCTGGCAACCTGATATTTGGGGTCTAAATAAGCATTCCTACACTCATTCACCACAGAGCTCACTCTATGTGCTTTAGGTTACACAGACCTGCTATTTTTGTCTGGGAGTTAGAAAGCTGATTCCTTTACACAGTCTGCTATTCTACTATTATTTTTGTCCGCTTATGTACTCGATTTTCCCATAAGCATCCCGAAATGCACCCAACCCCCCAGCAGCTGAGATATATATGACTGTCTAAATTCCTTAGATGAACTCAACTGAGTCAGGTTAGCACATGCAAAGGCCTCTGAGAAGACAAAGAGGAGCAGTCACAGAGGGCTATCAGATAAAACCATCCCAACACCTACTTTGCAGCGGGTATCTCTCACCCCAGATCTCCTCTAACAGCTGTACAAACCCTTTCAAGTGAAACAACGACGTTAATTGGGTGAGAAAAATGGGAAGAAAAGTAGAATGAAAATAACACAGCAACAAGTATAGCAAAGGGAATTTAAGAACAAGTGAAAGGAATCGTGTTTGCGGAGCGCGTCCCATCCAGCTCCAGCTGCTTCCCTTTGAACTTGGGGGTGCCCCAGTTTTTGCGGGGCCTCTGCCATCGCTGGATTCAGGAGGAAGCAGCCAGGGAATGGCTGCAGCTGAGCCTTTTGATATGAAAAGTAACGACTCTCTGCAGGAGGAAAAAAGGGAGTCCCTCACACACCTACAGTCTGTTCTATTTTGGGGGAGGTTGTTGATGTCTTGTTTGAAGTGATAAGCATCGTAAAGCTCTGTGGCTAGGGCTCCAAGCTACACACTTAAGCTAAAAATAATTTTAAAAAGCTAATCAGGGAAGGCTGTATAACACCAGCTAGGCAGTGCGGAAGCTAGTCCGGTAGTTTTTTCTTCCTGTCAGTGCTTACAAGTTTAAGTTTGCTTTGAAAACTAAATGGTACTTCAAAACACGGGAGATTTAAGAATAAAATTCCCATTAGCAGCTGTTAGCAGGAATTATCAGGGCAAATCCCTTCATATTAAGGCAAGAACAAACTTCTGAAATTCAAAGACTCCAAGGAAGAAAGAGGAGTTAAAAAGAAAAGCCCCACAGATGCACACCCCCCCCCAGCACAATTGCCCATCTCCAGGGCTCAGCCTCTGCCAGTGGGTCCTGATGCCCAGCACCTGCCTCGGGCCCTTCTCATGTCCCAAATGTCCCCGTATCTCCCTGCATCCCTGTGGGGGATTTCTGGGCACCAAGAGCAGCATTTTTGCCACTTTATGAGCTTTTCCAGGCTGCAGATCCCCAAGCACTGTGAGCAAACTGCTAAGCGGAAGGCGAGGACATGGCACTCTCCTTCCCTCCTGCTGCTGAAGCTGTGCAGCAAAAAATGAAAAATTCATAGAATGGAGTACACTGACATGAAATTGAATTTATTGAAAAAGTACGGCACTGCAATCTACCAGTCAGGTAACTTGTTTCAGTGAGTCCTCCGGGAGTGCTCGGATGGTTGTTTCCTATGAAACACAGGGGCAGGAGGTGACATGCTTTTAGGATGCAGTCTCATGGTATCTCATCTCCACCCACAGAGTTATCAAATACCGACTGAACCACGGTCATACATTATACAGGTGTGTCTCTAGTCTCTGCAAATTTGTGATAACACGTGTCCGCTCTGACCCACTTTCACCACCTCGCAAGATGTTGTTTTTCACACTGACCACTGGGTTGAACACACGCTGGGCTGATTGTCATGGCTCAGATGATACACAGTAAGGGCTCAACTCATGCAGCTGACTTCCTGGTGTGGCTGAAGCCTGGATACCCAACTCTGGCCTTCCCCAGGGGGACACTTTAGCCCTTTCTCCTTGTGCTTTTCCTTTCCTGCCCACGGTACCACCTGTCCCACAGGAGCAGCAAGGCAGTTCCCATGTGGTGCGCAGCCTCCAGCATGTTGCTGCACACACTCCTGGTAAGTGAGAAGCAATGAAGGGAAGTGAACACGAGGAGAGGAGAGGAGAGGAGAGGAGAGGAGAGGAGAGGAGAGGAGAGGAGAGGAGAGGAGAGGAGAGGAGAGGAGAGGAGAGGAGAGGAGAGGAGAGGAGAGGAGAGGAGAGGAGAGGAGAGGAGAGGAGAGGAGAGGAGAGGAGAGGAGAGGAGAGGAGAGGAGAGGAGAGGAGAGGAGAGGAGAGGAGAGGAGAGGAGAGGAGAGGAGAGGAGAGGAGAGGAGAGGAGAGGAGAGGAGAGGAGAGGAGAGGAGAGGAGAGGAGAGGAGAGGAGAGGAGAGGAGAGGAGAGGAGAGGAGAGGAGAGGATTGTTTGTTTGTTTTGTTTGTTTTTTGTTGTTGTTTTGTTTTGTTTTTGTCTGTATCATAGAATCATCTAGGTTGGAAAAGACCTTCAATATCATCATGTTAGGGTTTTGACTGCACATCAGTTCAACAGAGCCCAGGGAAAGTACCACTGCATCCCATCCTGTCCATCCCAAACCATTAGACATAGTAAGATCCCCTGCTTTAACACCTCCCTTTCCTCTAGCTTGGAATATGTGACTCTCTACTCGCTGTGACTATCCCTGTCTTCACAGGTAGGAAATGTCAGCAACAGCTGCTCCTGCCCTACCTTTCCATTAATCCTGCTTTCCAGTTTTTGTACCCCAACAAGTAAAGAGGCGCAAGGCAGAGAGCCCAACTGCGCAGCCAGACAGAGGAGAGAGGCAGGTAGGTAGTGGGGCCTTAATTTGATTAGATTGCCATGGACCTCCAAAGGTCCTTTAGCAGATCACGAGGGGTGTGTGGATGAGTCCTTCTAGACTATTTATTATTTTGTCTCCTTCTCTATGTCTCATTTTTATTTGTCTCATTCCTAAGGGAAACAACTCCAACCTTATCAATCTCCCTTGATATGAGAGCTTTCCTCTGCTCCAGTCATGTTTGTCACCCTTCCCTGAACCCTTTTTAATTCTCTTGTTATTACTTTGAACAAAGATGGATGGAACAGCAGAAGCAGTTCTCCAGCCGCACAACTTATGAACTGCAGAAAAACAGGTCAAGGCTAGGCTGAACTCTGGAGCAGCTCTAGTGAGGTCAGCAGAGTCACCTCAGGAATGAATGTACTCCTCTTCAGTTCGGTTTCTAGCCAAGTTCAGTTTCCTTAGTATTGCTCAGGCTGTGAAAAACAAGAGTTACTGACAACAGGTTGTCCATACTGCATGCTGCTGAAGTTTTGTCAAATACATTTTATCTGGAAATGTGGATATTGGATATGCACGAGCTGGACTGAGCATTGTAGCAAAATCACGTCTAAACCTCTCCATACAGAATTGCAATGCCTGACCAGAGGAATGATATGGCCATCTCAGGCTCCTGCTCAGATCAAAAAAGAAGGGACAAGTAATCTACTACAAATTAATTAGGGACATGCCTTTTATTCCCATGGCTTGTGTCACACAGTGTTGTCTAAAACAGTTTAGATCTTCTCATTCTCCATACAAAGACATTTCCTTGCTTTTACTTTTACTAAATCCTTCATTTTGATGCATTAATCAATACCATAAATTAATAATGCACTACTCAGGATGTGCTGCTTTTCACTTCCATTTAATATTGTCTTGCTTTGGCATTATGTGGAAGAATAAATAAGAGACCTTGATTTTCTGTAACATTTATTATTTTGTGCCTCTTCCACTCCATATAGACTCTATTCATACATTTACTTTTTCATATGCTTTCTGAATCAAGCAGCTGTGGTCCCTCCATCTCTAACAGAAGTATTTCCAGGCTTTTAGCTGACGTACCTTGGCGTGGCAAGACTCTGCTTTGTCCAGCTACTGAGTAACATAAAGGAACCCCAGTGCAATACAGCCAACCTCCCATTAAGTATAACAATGAGTCATCTTTGTGTAAGTTCTTGGGCCTTAGTGACTTTCAACCAGAGAGACAAATGTAGAGCAGTATCTTTGGTGGTGTCATCCTTCCTACCACCCCATAGTCCTTGCTGTGCTCAATCTGAACCCAGAGCAGCTGACAGTGGCTGTTCCCACTTCTTCTCAGCTCCAGGGACCCCTTTCATCCATCAGTCTAAGGGCACTGTGCAAAAAGAGTAGGATGGAGCCACAATCAGGTGAAGTGAACTGAGACAGGCTACGTAGCAGGGCATGTTGGAATAACTCATCGCTGGTCTATCTCACAGCTATACTTTCATACCCTGGGCCTGCAAGGTCTTCCCTCAGGCAGATGTTTTCAACTTGGCAGTGACTATAATTGCATTTGTGTTAGGGTTACATGGTGCAACGCAGTGATTTGCATTCTGAAGACACCTGCAGAGTCAACATTAATAGCGAAGTAACCAGCAAAAGGCAAAGCAGATAGCTGGTGATATGTGTGTTAGTGCTGAGCTCAGAGAGGTTTCTGATGTCTTGAATTTCTTCATCAAAAGCCAAGCCAAAAGGCTGAGAGTTGTCCAGTTTCATGGAACAGGTCCAGATTTTAGGAACCCCTGCAGACATCCTGCTCCCCAGCCACAGTCACAGCCTTGGCTCCCTCTACCTGCATTGTTCCTGCTGGAGCAGCCTCATCTTCCCCACCACCGAGCTGGGCTGGGCTGGGCTCAGGGCCACTGCTTTGAGTTCTGCCTTCCTTCTCCAGTGAGGCAGAGAGCAAAAGGCTGTGCAGACACAACCTGCCTGTCCCCAGCTGGACTGGGCTGAATAAGAGCATGCCACAGATCTCTGCAAGGCTTGCAGTCATGTCCAGTGAAAAGGATATTCGTGAATTCTCACTTTAAATCCCATTCCATTTCAATAATGCTGTCCCCTTGAGATTTTTTTTCAGTACCTGCAAACCTGCCAGGTTTTTTAACGTACAAATAGGAGCATTTAGTAAGAAAACAGGGACATGGTTTTAACTCTATCGAAATACATCTGATAGAAAGAGCTTTTAGGAGAAAAAGAATTGAAAAGATTCACTGCTTTTAAAGAATGGTTAAAACCTATCTTTCATTACAGCAAGACCTAGGACGAATGGCTTTGATCTCTCAATATTATCCGAGCAAAGCCAGTTAATACCTGCTTCTAGAGTAGCAGCATTTGCTTTTGTACAGAATTCTTTAAATGACTTCCAGGGCCATTAGAGTCAATTGTAAAACACCACTGCGTTTACCTAACCAGAATTTCCCCAGCAGATCAGGCCACAAAAGGCTTTAGATGTTGCAACACTGAGTGTTGCAATTCTGAACTTTTAGCACTTGTAGCCAGCTCCATCCCACTAACTTTGAGAACCTGAGCCAGGAATGTAATCTTGCTATGCTCCTCTGAAGTCAGTGGAGAACTCCCGAGAACAGTTTCTGGCTGACTGTTACACAGGATGAACCCAAGATCTTGGCGCCTGCTGAAATACCCAGCCCTGGGTATGTATCTGGGCTCCCATTGAATACCTGGAGACACCCACATGCCTCTGGATGGGATATAGGTAAGCCATCAGAAGGAATGAGGAACCCTCTCACCTAGCTGGCACTGAGGGGCTGAGGATAAAAGCCTCTTCCCAGCCCCAGGAGGCTGCTGATGGTACCTTCTTGCTTTCCTTCCTTCCCAGGAGCCACGAGGACACCCATCTGGGTCTGTGGGAGCCTGGCCTCCACTCTCTTCCCCTCTCAAGGCAATTTTAACTTAAATCTTATTGTGGCCAACAGACTAAAGCTGGGTGATGCTCTCAACGTTTCTCCAGATAATTTGTTACTACTTTCAGCTCTCTACCATATGAATCCTATGGGAAAGTCCAGTGACTGCAAATAAAGAGAATAGCCTGGATTCGTTTAAAAAACTAAGGTTTTGTGAAAGACTGGGTAGAAGCTAGACAAAATAATATGAGGACCAGCATTCAAGTGAATGGAAAATGACGTATTTTAAACAAGGAAACAGCCCAAGGAAAATGAAACATCAACATAAAACATTGAATTTTTTAAAATGGTCAGGGAAAAAAAATAAAAAGGGGAAAAGAAAAACAATACAAGAACTCAGAAAACAGAAAAATTGTAGAAAAGGAGAACCATCGAGGCCAGCAACTAACAAAAGAAGCTTCTGAAAAGCATTTTCATGTATTTGTGTGCTGGAAATGGACAGTATTCTGTTCATTTACATGTAGTGTGTTTTTTTCTGTTTGCAGGAGCAATATAAAATGCTCTTGCACAATGGATTATTTATTTTGTAAAGCTCTCATAGAAACTCCACACACACATTTAACACATATATAAACATTTTTCATAATAGGATAACTTATTCCTTAACTTCATAGTGAGAATGATCTGGCTTTCAATAATGCAGAGGAGAATCAGATTCAGGTTAATGAGAACATTTGTCTGATTAACCTTCTCCATAGGCAATGACTTGTAATGGTCCATCAGTCATCCATGCTTAAGTAGTGTTGCCAAATAAATTTAATCCATGCCCAAAAATGTATTTACAGAAATAACCATGGGCCACTAAATAAAATCTGGTATCACATGTTAGTGAACGTCAGGAAAACCTTGCTTACAGCTTTCAAGCACTTAAAGATGTGTTCTGCAGGACCAAATTATTAGAGTTTACAGACATACTGGTATTAAATACCCAAGTGCAAACTGAATCATGTGAGGGAAAAGGGTCACAGGCAATTAAAAATCCCTTAAGATTTTAACTTGTTAATGGAAGCAATTTTGATGGTAGTGGCTGAAAGATAATAGCGCTTAGCTATAGCAGATGACATTCCTGTACGTAAAATTACTTGTTGGTCTTAATCTAGTTGGTAACAGCAAGGAGGTAGTTGTATTATTAAACACTATTGTGCTTGTGGAATAAGGGCTGAAACCTGAGAAACCAAAATGAAGAGGTAAAATGGACTTCATTCCCTCTGTTAATGCCACGGCTAAACTGTCCCTACAGAACAGAGTGGGGAAATTCCCCTTTCACTGCCTTTCCAGTGCCTGTTACAGAGATAAATACAAATGTCCTTTTTCTGAAGCTACCAAGTAAATACCTGAAATGCCATTAGCTCTTCTTTAAAAAACAAGACCAAAACTAAAAGCACAATGTGCAGGTGTAACCCAGATGCTGGTCTGCAGTCTGTCAGGTACTCAAAGGTCATTCTGGGAGAAGACGTGAAACCACTTGGGGTTTTCAGTGCTGTGATTGAGGGCATAAATCAGGCATCAGCTGCCTGAAGTTAAGAACCACTCCTGTGGGTGGGTTACTACATAATATTTTTCACAGGTTTTGTTGAACCTTTCCTTGAAACATATGATGTACCAGCCACTGTGCATGAAATGGTAATGGACTCATTAGTCTAGTGGTCTGTTAAAATATCACAATTCTTTTGTTCCTGTGGTACTTAATAGAGCAAGGACAACAAATCATCACCAATAATTCACTTGATAACTGTTGATTTTTCTCTTTATGAACTGTCATAGGCAGAGATCTAAACTTTCAAAAATGGCTATTATTCCAAATTAGCTGTGATTGCCTCTATAAAAACCTCCCAGAGATAAGAGCATTCATGAAGATTAAAAAATAATAATAATAATAATAATAATAATTGAGAGTGTACACTGAATTAGTAGGCTATATGTTATTTCAGGCTTCAGACAGGCTCATATCTGCCAATAAATATCAAAGTACAAATTGAAAACATTGAATATTACAAATGAATATATAATGAAAAACTAACTTTTGAAGCAAAGAACATAAATTATGCCTTTTGTGCACACTTGTCACACAAAGTTGCAAAGATCAAATGCTTAAAAAAACAGATGTAGGATGTGTTGAATTTCAAATGTGAGTAATTCAACCCTGAGAGCTTTTTTTGGCCAAATTCTGTCTTTTTCACATACCAAATGGATGGACAAACCCTGTCTCTCACCCCACAGCACTCTGCCCACTAGGGGCAGATTTCAGCTTTTGGGGTTAGCAGTGCACCCACCTCACCCATACCCCCCAAGTCCCACCAGTGGTACTTGAGGGAAGCATCTGGACAGAAACTTGATTCTTCAGCAGCACTTTCTTAATTATGTTTTTCTAATTATGTTATTGACCTTCCTCTGAGGAAGTTCCTCTCTTGAGAGAACAGTATTAACTCAATTAATTTAAAAATGGAAGGTGGTTTTCTTTTTTCTTTTTTTTCTTCAACAGAGCAGAGAACAGTCTAAAAATGACATAGAAAGCAAGACTGCCAGAGCACAAATACCTGTACTACTGCCTATATTCAACCATTTCAGACTCATGGAAATTATTCTCTTTCTGTGTGCTGAACCTGGGTCATCGGTTCACTTACTCTAATCCACTGTGAACAGAATATTGTTCTTTTATGACACAAAAAGAAAGATAAATATTTGATCGATATAAACAACATACAGGATAAATCACTGGGAGACCTGCAGAGAGTAAGTTCTGGTAAGAAAAAAGTAAAACCATGAGGAGACAGGTCAGAAAAACGTTTTGAGAGGCAGCTGGCTGAAGGAATCAAAAGAAGTCGTCAAACCTTTCCCAAAGCCGCTGGAAGCCAGCCGCCTGCCGGCTGATCGATAAGGCCCGTGGGGCTTTCAAAAAGAGAAAAGCTAAGTGGACTCTAACCACTAAAGAGCATCTCGGGGAGATTCCCATAGCGTGGGTTTCCTAGTGAGAAAAAAAAAATAAAAAATAGGAGTGACTCAAATTTAGTAGAGGAAGATTTAGGACAAACCAATAGAATAAGTAGTAATGAATCAGCAGGAGCATACTGTATTTCCCCAGGGTTGTAAAAGACCTGCTAACTGCAGTGCACAACCTACCACTTACCAGGGAATAAAAGGAGGCAAAAGTGATCCCTGCTCTGGAGAGGAAAATCAGAAAAGGTCCAGAAATCTACAGACCTGTAACTGCGACTTGGGAACACTAGCCTGGGAAATGTATGATGAACTAAAAGATAGTAATTAATTAATTAATTAATTAATAATAATAATATAGGACCAAAGAAAAAAAATACTATGGCTTCTGTGGGGAGAAAATCTTACCTCATAAATCCATTGAGCTCCTCTGAAGGAGTCAATGAGAGCACAGGTTGTGGTGGTGTGGGTGATACAGCATACTTGTGCTTCCAAAAAGGTTTTGACAAGGTCCATCCCAAGAGGATGAATAAATAAAGATCTCATAGTGAGTCAAAAAGAAAGGGTAGGAATAAAGGGTCATAAAAAGAGAAAATAAAGGGAGATTTCCAGGGGAGTCCCACCAGCATCTACGAAGCTGTGTGCTCCATTTACCAATAAATCACCTGAGAAAAGTGAATAGCAGCATAGCAGAGTTTGCTGATGATACAAAATAGTTTAGGGCAATATAAACTAAAGCTGACTGCCGAGTGTCACAGCAACAGCTTGCAATATAACACACAGGATTGATCTTATCTAACCGTGGACATCTACAACACAGCTGTTAGAGAAACTGAGAATCACCTGAGGCTCCTTTCATACTCAGTGGAGAGAAACGGGCACTTTTAAGGCTTGACTCCTCTGATCTGTTGTATATATATATCTATAAGAATTTGAGGAATCACAACCCTAGAAATGTCTCTGTCTCTCACTGACTATAAAGAGAGCACGCAGTTACTGGCTCAGATGTTATTCATCTACATTTAGCCTGATGAACCCACTCTGAGTATGCAGGCAGTAAAATAGCAGGCAAAATTCAATGTCAATAAATATAAAGCAATGAACATGGAGGGAAACAACCTTAACTAGACATATATAATTTAATGGATTTTAAATTGGCTATTACCGTTTAGAAAAGAGAGCTAGGAGTCACTGTTGATAGGTCTACATGGAAAGCTCTCCATTCACTGTTAACAATGGTCAGAAAGACACATGGCTTTGCCAAGTTACTAGGAAAGGAGTAAAAACAAACCAGAAATTAAGTAGTGGCATTGTGCAGATGGTGTGTATTTACCATGTCTCACTGGGGCCAGTTTGGGTCCCATCATTTCAAAAACTGTGGTGGAAATGGCACAGGTGTAGGAGAAAGGCAGGAGGGATGGTCCAAAGGTTGGAACACCTTCTGAATGGGGAAAAGTTAAACCAGCAGGGCTCGTTGTGTGGAAAAGAGACATCCAATAAATTCATGGGCATTGTGGATACAAGGAACAGGGAGTGCTTATTCACTCTTTGTTGCAATTCTACTGACATAAATGGAAGGAAGAAAAACAGTCTCAGAACTGGCTTGTTGTAACAGGCACATTGACAAGTCTTAAGTCTGAACTTAAGGCAGAGAAAGCAGTGAGATGCCATGCCATACCGTGCTGCCATCAGCTCCCAGGGGCCATGTGGGATGGGAACAGCAGAAGGAAGATCTGCAAGGGCAGCCCTTTAGGGGAAGGTGTAGATGAAAGAACAAATACACAGCAAAAAGAAAGGTCGGCACATGCCGTGCTACAAGCAGCTGGAGAGGCAGGAGACTGCAGAGAGAGGCTGCAGAGAGTAAAGGATCCAGAGACACATAAAGCTAGGAGAACCCCTCTGAATAATGGAAGATAAGTCAAATAAATGTGTGTTTCCTTAAACCTTTCTTAATCCTCTAGCAGCATATTGTCTAAGTAACAAGATGGCATATTTGCTATTCTGTCATCTGTGAATCGCAGGGAAGATGTTCCCTTGCTTTAGGCAGATTATTCAGAGCTGCCTCTGTCTAGCACAAGGCTGGTGGGTGATCTGCCAAGTTTCCATTTCATGGACAAAGTTTAAAAGGGTCCTAACAAGGCACAATGAACCAGAGAACAGTGGCAGAGGGTAGGACACACTGAAGACCAGGTGGATCTGTCAGATTGGTCAGGGACTTCAGCAAGGTACCTCGGAAAAATCCTGCAAAAACTGATCTGTATGTCTTTATATTTGATACATAACACACGTTATATAAATATATAATATTTTTAAAAGTCTGCATATAGGCATTTGGAAAAACATCTAAGCTGCTGATTGAAGATTGATTCTTAAGAACTGCCAAAACTGCAAATCCAATAACGTGCAACAAAAATTGTGAATTAGCAGTTTCAGTCTTGGAGAACTTCCAAACCCAGAGATAAGACTATGAAAAATGACAGAAGACAAATGAAAAAAGAAATAGAAATCTTCATCCATGTCCTT